AATAGTGTGTGTGTGTGTGTGTGTGTGTGTGTGTGTGTGTGTGTGTGTGTGTGTGTTGATATTTTGATAAAGAAAAATATGAAATTAGAATTTGGATTGGCCAATAAAATAATATTAAGATAAAATATTTTAACCAATCAGCAACTGGGAGTGTTGCAATAAAAATAGAGCTTAAGAAAAATTTTAAATATCTGACGCTGCTATGATATACACATTGTACCACACTACTTAAATACTACATACAAATACAATATAGGCAGCTGTAGTTATATACATATACAGTTATGCATATACAATATATGTACAATATAATAATATAATAATAATGTATAAAATAAATGAAAAAGTAAAAATATAAAACACTATGGATATGTTAGGGGTGTTAGGATGTGTTAGTGCCTCACCAACTACTCGGACTACTCTGTTGCACACTCTGTTTCTTTCTCTCTTTGTTGTGTACATATGTATATATGGTTAAATCTATGTACTACGCAACTTCCGCTATCTGACTGCTGAGCAAAATGGACGCCTTTGTGTCTGTTTTTCTCATATTAATACTATAAATAAAATTTAAGCTACGCTTGGATAATTATAATCAATGAATCTTAACTAAATATTACTAACAATATAAGTGAGTTGTATGTTGTGTATTAATGATAGGTGCTTATTATTTTTATCTATAATATAAAGACTTTAAATCAAGTAGGCCACTGCTACGGATGACAATTGACTGAATATCATAGTCATAAAAAAAAAAAAAAAAAAAAAAAAAAAACGATTCCTTGTAAGCATTTGTCTCTTCGTTATATATTATTTTTTTCAATATTTATTACATCATTATTATAATAATTATTATATTTTCAGAAGGATTATTTATTATATTACCTCCCGCCAAAATTTTATTACAAGTTTGCATTTGTTGGCGTAAATAATTATCAATAATAGTGGGGTAAGAACACTTGACATACTATTAAATTTTTAATCATTATTAAGAAAATGATAAATATTATGAAAAGCTTATTATTCTATTCTTTTTATATTTTATGTAAATTCACGTATTCAAATTTTATTGATTCTTTAAATTATTATATTTTTTGTTTTTGTTTTCAATTAATTTATATTTTGACATTTAAATATTTTTCACCTTCATTTATTAACTATATTGAGTTAATTAAAGTATTAATTAATCTACTAATCGATCATTTTATTTCAATTATTATTTTTTTTTTCTTTTATTAAACATTACTAAACTAAATATTGATGGTTGAATTTTTTTTTTCAGATAATTTAAAAAAAAAAAAAAAAAAAAAAAGTAGAATGAATCTTTTACTACAAGATCCAAGAGCATCATCCAAATTTGGATAATATAATAGCCTACATTATGGGAACTTAAACAAAGTAAAAATAAACTATATAGTTTCTCAAAAATTGAATTTTGTGTCAGTGTTTTAATAAACTAAATACTTTGAGTGTTACAGTGTTAGTGCTTTCTCTCAAAAACAATAAAACAAATCTAAATAATATAATTGAAAGGTTGTTGTACAATGTATTATTCTACAAAAAATTGGAGAAAATATGCATTTAACAACTTGAGAACAATTATATTGATAAAAGACCATTACTTGTTGTGAAAAAATATAATCGTTAAAATAATTTATGACAGCATATAATAAATTGATAAATCGTGAGTTTTTTTTTTTTTTTTTTTTTTAATTTCAATTTAAAAAAAAAAATAATAAAATAAAAACAAACAAAAGTGGAATTGATTAAACGGTGAGTTAATGTCAAGGGTGTAATGCCAGAATTAATCAAGGTCAAAATGAATGGGGTTATACCGAGTGTTCCGATCACTACCCTCGCAGGTATCGCGAGTCTTACAGACTTATTGCCGGAAATGCCCCTACCAACACCTTTACCGCAAGCTGTGACAAATAAGTCATTGTTATTTCATGCACGTGTTGCAGAAGAAGCAAAATTACAGCTTAGTAATAGAGATGAAACATTAGTACCACAATTGATTCAAGCATTATCGCAAACATCATCTGATAATATTGAATTGAAAGATGAATTTATCGCACAATCTGAACAACCGTACTCTGAATCAGAACAACACACTCCAGAATTATTAAAAGCTATATTAGAAATAAATCCTCATGTATTCAAAGGTCCACAATATAATAATTCACGAAGAATTTGGCCTTGTCCGAATGCCTCACAATTAACGAACGCTAATCAGTCACCAGCAAATTATGGGCGATTTTCACCATCATATTCTAATTCATCAGGATCAAGACAAACACCTCAAGGTAGTCCTGCTCAACCTGCACCCGCTAGAACTGTATTACCATCACCACTTTTAATTTCAACAACAGTAACAACAACAACAGCAACCTCAGCAACCAGTAATATAAGTCACATTCAACATTCTAGAATGCCAATTACACCACATAATCATACTGATATCTCACAATTGTCTCCTTTCGCTGTGCCTTCACCATCACCTCGTGCAACTGTTATTACGGAACAAATAAGAACATCAACAACACCACACCATCATATACAAGATGATGCCAATGGTATTACTAATAATCAGTTGTCAAATATTAATAATCCTCATGGAAATATTTATTCACCAGCTCACATGGGATCTCCAAGTACTGCAACAACAATTATTCAACAACAACCACCGCATCAACATCAACAACAAATTAATACTCATGTTGTACAGCCACATCATCATAACCTTAGTGGTTTGACACCTCAACATTCAATGCATATTACATCTCCAATGCACAGTTCAATATCAAATCAACCAATCAATATTAATTTACCACAATCTATGTATGATCCAATAATTAATCAACAGTTACAACAGCATCCTATCAATGTTAATCATCACACATTGGACCTTGCTAATGTTGTACAAGATAGCTCACAATTTTTACTAGATTCTGTTTCTGGACTTCCTGATATTGATTTACCAATGGATACCATTGATCCTAAGCCACAAATTCAACAGGGTGTTGATAATTTAATGAATCAACAACAGCAGCAGCAGCAACAACAACAACAACAACAACAACAACAACAACAACAACAACAACAACAACCACAACCGCAACAATCTGTTTATCCTAATATTAATTCTGAAAATGTTGCGAATGTATTTGATTCAAGCCTCACAATGCCCATACATCATCTTCATCATCATGAGCAACACTCACAACAATTGCAACAACAATTGTCACCACAGCAACATCATCATCACCATCATCATCATCATATTCAACATCAACAACAACTTCAACAATCGCATATTCAGGAACAATATCAACAAGATCAGTTTCAACAACAGCAAATATTGCAGCAGCAACAACAACAACAATTACAACAACAGCTAATACTACAGCAACAACAACAACAACAGGAACTATTGCTACAGCAACAGCAGCAGCATCAACAACAACAACTATTATTGCAGCAGCAGCAGCAACAACAACTACAACAACAACAACAACAACAACAACAACAACAACAACAACAACAACAACAACAACAACAGCAGCAGCAGCAGCAGCAGCAACAACAACAACAGCAACAGCAACTACCACAACAGCAATCATCTAATTCAAATTTACAATTATCGTCTCAGACTCCCAAACACCAGCATGATCAAATGAATGAGCATGTAATCAAAGACATTAAATTAATGGGACAATCATTTGATACAAAGTTTAAGGAGCCAGTAGTTATGTTGAATAGAATATCACTATCAGATCAAGTTCTAATGCAACAAAAATCACCCAGCCGCGGAGCAACAAAAATGGGATTAAAAAACAATAACCATAATAGTAATCAGGATAATTTAAAATCAGATTCAGAAACTGATGATGATAATGGAAAAAATAATAAATCATTATTTAAATCATCACCATCATCATCTCGAACAAAAGATCGTAATTTACGAGCTCGAAGACGAAAACGTATATTAGATGATGATGACGAAATGGAGTGTGGTGATGACGTAGCGGATGATGATAATAATGATAATAAAAAAGAAATAATACAAACATCACCGATAAAACCAAAAATAAGAAAAATAGAAAGAAAATTAGTACCTGTATTAGCAAAATTGAGCGTTGATGAATTAATGGAAACAAATACCTATCAATTATTTAATTCAATGATTGATACAATATTTGAAAATACAGAGGATGTTGTTACAATGGGTGAAATAGATGATGATGGCGATGTACCAGCAGAAATACTTATACAAAAATATGAATTACAAGCATTATGTAAAGAAGCTGCTAAATTAAAATCATTAAGAGCTATGGAATCTATTCCAGCAGACAGGCTGGTAAGATTATTAAATATATTGGAAAAAAATATTCGTGATGGTGCTAGAGTATCACCTTTGGCTGATCCAGATGATGATGTTGAAGAAAGTAAATTGTGGATGCAAATGGCCATGGAAAGGGTATTACGTGCTGTTGATGCATCTGTAATAGCATTAAATATAATGACATCACAAAATATGCCAAAAACAGTATATTTAGAGGATGTTATTGATCGTATTGTATTATTTATGAAATTTCAATTACAAAATACAATATATCCATCATTTGATCCTGTTTATAGAATAGATTCAAAAAATAAGACTGATATGAGTTTGAATGCTGGACGTAAAAAAAGAGGTAATATGAAAGAGGTACGTGAAAAAAGTATACTTGAAGTTTACAATAAAATGCGTGAACTTGTTGGTTTACTTGCTGAATTATTAAATATACAAGTATTAACTGATACAAGTGTACTTCATGCATCAACACTTGGTGTTGCACCATTTTTTGTTGAATCTGTTAATGATCTTCAATTAAGTGCATTAAAACTTGTAACTGTTATTTTTACAAAATATGAAAAACACAGAAGATTATTATTGGATGATATTCTTGCATCAATAGCAAGATTACCAAGTAGTAAAAGAAGTTTACGTACTTATAAACTTCATTCTGGTGATTATATACAAATGTTAACAGCATTAGTATTACAATTAATACAGTGTGTTGTTATATTACCAGATAATTTAATTCGTCAAGATCATCATAATCATCATCATCATCATCATAATAATAAATCATCATCACATAATAATTCTGGCAGTGGTGCTGTTAATAGTAAGGATGATGATGATAATAATAAAAATAAAAATGTATCACATATTGATGCAGATATATTAGTTATCAGCAAATATGAAACAGCAACACGTTTAGCTGGTAATTTTTTATCTGTATTTTTAAATAAATGCAGTAGTAAAGGTACTGACATTGATTATCGTCCATTATTTGAAAATTTTATTCAAGATTTATTAGCTACTGTTAATAAACCGGAATGGCCAGCTGCTGAATTACTATTAAGTATATTGGGAAATTTACTTGTTGGACATTTTTCAAACAAAAGTTCAGATATGTCATTACGTGTTGCTTCTATTGAATATCTTGGAGTTGTTGCTGCAAGATTACGAAAAGATGCTGTTAATTCTCAATGTAAATTATCAACAATCGATCAAATAATAATTGATATAAAAGCTGAACAACAAAAAGATATGGATTATGAATCAACAGCAGCAGCAACAACAACAACAACAACAACAACAACAACAACAACAATACCAACATCAACATTATCTTTATCATCATCATCATCATCAACAACAACAACGACAAAAGATATTAATAATAGTGATAATAATTTAAAGAAAAAACAAACAACCAGTGGAGATTTGGATAAAGATGAAGAAAGAACAAAATTTTTACAAAAAGTACTCCTTGATCATTTAGCTGTTAATGGTACTAATGATCCATCATTAATTTATGCACGTCATTTTTATTTAGCCCAATGGTATCGTGATTGTGAGCATGAAAAAACACGTGTTGGTCAAATAAAATCATCTCCAATTAAAAAATCATCATCATCACCACATAAAAGACGTTCACATAATAATAATAATAATAATAATAATAATAATAGTGGTAGCGGTAGCAGTAGTAATAAAAATCAAAAACGTAATAAACATTATATTGAAAGTGATAAAGAAAGTGATGATTCTGATATTGAAGAATTAGATTCGGATGAAAATGACAATAATGAAAAAAAAAATTTTGAAGCTTATAGAATAATAGAAGAAAAGAAAAAATTTATATTAACTTCAATCCGTCCTTGCAGTTCATCAACAAAACCAGATATCTTACAAACATACATTGATTATAATTCAGCAGAATTAATATCACAATATTTAGCATCTAAAAGACCATTTTCACAAAGTTTTGATAAATATTTAAAACAAATACTTCATGTATTAACAGAATCATCTATAGCTATAAGAACAAAAGCTATGAAATGTTTAACAACAATTGTTGAAGCTGATCCAAGTGTACTTGCACGTGGTGATATGCAATTAGGTGTCCGACATTCATTTTTAGATCATTCAACGTCTGTTCGTGAAGCTGCTGTTGATTTAGTTGGTAAATTTGTATTGAGTAGACCAGAACTTATTGATAAATATTATGATATGTTATTGGCTAGAATACTTGATACTGGAGTAAGTGTTCGTAAAAGAGTTATTAAAATTTTAAAGGATATTTGTGTTGAGTGTCCAGATTTTTCTAAAATACCTGAAATATGTGGTAAAATGATACGTCGAGTTAATGATGAAGAGGGTATACGACGATTAGTTATGGAAGTATTTCAAAATATGTGGTTTACACCTATTAAATCAACTCCAATACTTGATTCAAAAGCATTATTAAGAAAAGTTATGAATATAACAGACGTTGTTGCTACCAATAAAGATGCTGGATTAGAATGGTTTGAACAATTACTTGTTAGTTTATTTAAACCTAAAGAAGATAAAGAAGACAGTACTAAATTACTAACTGAACCACCAAAAGCTTTATTAACAGCTTGCCAACAAATAGTTGATTGTTTAATTCAAAATATATTAAAATTAGATGAACAATCAATGAATAATTCAGATGCTGTTAATAGTAGTAGTGTTAGTGGTAACAGAAATAATAATAATAATAATAATAATAATAATAATAATAATAATAATAATAATAACAATAGAGATGAGAAAAAAGGACCACCATCTCAACGACTTGTTGCTTGTATGACAACACTTTATTTATTTGCTAAAATACGACCACAATTATTAGTTGAACATGCTAGTACATTACAACCGTATCTTGGTTTAAAATGTCAAACACAAGGTGATTATCAAATAATAAGTTGTGTTGCTCATACATTAGAGCTTGTTGTACCATTAATGCAACATCCTAGTGAAACATTTTTAGCACAATTAGAAGAGGATTCTATTAAATTAATTCTTCAACATGATAAATCAGTTGTTGCTAGTTGTTTATCATGTTTAGGATCAATTGTTAATAATGTTACTAAAAATTTCAGTTTAATACGTGATTGTTTTACTAAATATTATAAATATTTAACATATTATAAAGCTGGACATGAAATAGATCCAAATAGTCAAAAATTATTAAATGGACGTCCATTATTTAGACGGGCATTATTTACTGTTGGATTATTATTACGACATTTTGATTTTACAGATCCTCAAGTAATAGATGGCTTATCAGATAATATTAAAGATCAAGTATTTGAAACAATGAGTTATTTTGTTAATCAAGATAATAATGATATACGTCAACATACATTAACAGCTATTGGTTCTATTTGTATTCGTTATTCAGAATTTATGTTACAACCTGAATTAAAAGAACTTTATCATTATTTATTAACATCTGATAATGCATTAGATAATATGAAAGTTCAAGTATTAAATAATATTGAAATATATTTACAAGAAGAGGAAAAAAGAATGATTAAACAGGATCAAGCGTGGGCTAAATTATGTAAACAAGAAAATTTAAAAGAAATGGGTGATGTATCATCTGGTATGGCTAGTACTATTATACAATTATATCTTAAAGAAATACTTGAATCATTTATAAATCCAAATCTTCGTGTACGTCAAGCAGCATGTAAAGTTATACAATTAATATTAGCTCAAGGATTAGTTTATCCTATTCAAATAATACCTGTTCTTATTTGTATGAGCACTGATATTGATGTTAGTGTTAGTCATAGTGCTGATAATCAATTACAAGAAATAGAAAGAAAATATCCTAGTTTTATTCATATGCAATCACAGTATGGAATTAAATTAAGTTATAGACTTCAAAAAATATTACAAAATAATATTACTGTCAGAGGTATGAGATTAAAAGATGGTGAATTTCCCAGTGCATTAAATGGTTTTTTATATACTATATTAAGAAATACTAAACAACAACGTCGTGCTATTGCTATTTCATTTTTAAAACAATTTGAAGAATCTGCTAAATCAAGTTTATCACAAATGTTATATCTTGCTGATAATTTAGCATATTTTACATATCAAGTTCAAGATGAACCACTATTTATTATTCATCATATTGATATTATAATATCTATGTCTGGTGATAATTTATTACAATCATTTAAAGAAGCTTTATTACCTAAAATAATAACAAATAGTAATAACTCGACAAATTCATCATCTATAGAACAACCCCAACAGCAACAACTACTACAAAATCTTGAACATTCTCAAGACCAACAACAACAACAACAACAACAACCAACAGCAGCTCTTCAATCAGTTATTTATGGATCTGATGGACAACCTAGACCTATTCAAATATTATCTGCTATTGAAGATGAGGACGATGATGAAGAGGATGATGAAGCTATTGTTGTAAGATTACCTCAAGATACAACGTTATTGCGTGAATATATTACTGCAAGTCAAGGTTTTCTTTTACTTCTTACATTACGACAGCATTTAAAAGAAATATATGGATTTTCAGATGCTAAAATAAGTCAATATTCACCATCTGAATCTGCCAAAGTATATGAAAAAGCAGTTACACGTAAAAGTACTGCTCATTTTAATCCAAAAGCTACATTAGCTAAACTTCAAGAAAATGTCAGTGATAAAGAACTTGATGATAATGGAAGAAAAAAATTGGCTGCTGAATATCTTGATTTTAAACAGCTAATGCTTAAATTTGATCCTAAAGAGCCAGATGAAGAAACTACCGCCGGTGGTGGTGGAACAGGTAATAATAGTACTACTGTTAATAACACTAATACTGCTGCTAGTGGTGGTCATCCAGGTAATGGTGATAATAACGATCTGTCTTCAAATAATTCAGCTCAAAGAATACCTAATTCTGAAATAAATAATCAGAGTACCTTACCAATAATTAATCTTGGTCATGGTACTGGTACTATTGATAATAATAATAGTAGTAGTAGTAGTAGTAGTAGTAGTACGTTACTACAACACAATTCTAATTCAATGCATCATCAAAATAATTCATTTAATACAATAATTACACCAACGGTACCCCCCTCACCTCGAGTACCTAAACTTACAATACATGCTCATTCTGAAACAAATAAAGAACACCGAAAACATCGTACGCACAAAACGGAAAAAATAAAAAAACATAAAAAGAAAAAACGAAGAAGAATATCCGATAGCAGTGACAGTGGAGATGACTGCAGTGATCCAGACTTTATGGTGTAGTAAGTGTGGTGCGTCCGTCAGTGTTTGTATATTTTTCTGTGTCCGTTTGCTGTGTGTAAAGCTATTAATAGCCTTGTCAATGTTACAGTTAAAAACAAAATAATCAGACTAATCAACTTTCAATTTTTTCAAAAAGTGTCAACTTAAATATTGAACACTATTTATATTTTATTCTATTTGTAATAAGTTAAATAAAATAACAGTCGCGTATAAAGTGATACGAAGAAAATATATATATATATTAAAATTAAAATAAGAATAAATGAACTTTCAAAAGACGACCATTATTCTTATCGTTTATTGGCTTTTAATAAATATAAATATGAAAATTATTATAGTAATAATAATAATAATAATAATAATAACAACAAAATAAGTTTTTAAAAAATTACAATTAAATTTGCAATAAAATAAATAAAAATAAAGAATAAAATGATTTTAATTTTTTATTTAAGAGGTCAATTATTAATATTAATTCAATTATTTTATTTATTTATGCATATATATTGTGCTTTAAAAATTTATAATAATAAAATAATTGAAATTGAACAACAAAAAGTAATCTTCATTATAGTTGATAGTAAATTTTTCTCATTATTAAAATATATGGTATTTATGTTTTGTTTTTTTAACCATTTTAGCAATTACTATTAACTAAATTGAGAATTATCCTTCGTGGTAAAATTCTATAGTTATATGGAAAATTATATATATATATATATAAAAGTAAAATTTTTTTTTTAATTAAATTTGATAATTTTTAATGAATGACATGATTTTTGAGTTTTTAAATTTGTGAAATTTATATAGTAAACATTAAAATACTTGTATAGTTATGAGTTAAAATAAACAATACGTTATAATAACTCTACTTGAATTATCTTTCACAAGTCTTCAATTTAATATTAAACCAAACAAAAAAATAAAATATTATGTATCATAAAATTACGCTCCTGAAGAATCTAGGAATCTTTTATTTAAATAACTAAAAACAATTGTAATATGTGTACATAAAAATTTAACTAAAATTATATTATTTTCGTATATACTATAAATTATATTACGAATGATACTACAATAAAGTAAAATTTAAAAAATATATAAATACTTATAATTTTATTATAAAATTAGGTACTCTGATAAAGTCTACGTTGTTCCAGTAGGATATATATATCATTTACTTTATCTACTTTAATTGACTTTATTGACAGTATAAATTTGCAAAAAGCAAATAATAGTACTAATTTAAATTTATAATCATAAGTAACAACAACAATAATGATGATAATACTAATAATAATCCTAACAAAAATAATATTAAGTGGTGAAATAAAAATTTGATTTTATAAAAAAATTTGTAGCAGTGATTTTTTCAATATGTAGATAATTTGATTAATATTATTGATCGAATATGAAATATATTAATAAATATAAGTATAGAATAATAAAGCTGTTTTACTTTTTTTTTTTTTTTTTTTTTAATTTTTTAAATTCGCATGATAATTTTTATAAAAAGTTAGTTTTAATTAATTTTATCATTTTTTAAATAAACATCGTTTTTTTTTTTTTTTTCTTTCATTTTAATTTTTAGAAATAAATAATTATTGTTTTGAGGTTAATTAGAAGAGGAACGCAATTTGATTTATATATTGAAGTAAAATTATAAGACCAATTTGTAAAAATGTAACTATTCATCAGTAGTTAATATACACTATTTAATTATTATTAAAAATTAATTAATTTATATATACGCGAAATAATAATATTTGATTTGTATTTTAATTAAACTATACTTTTGTCATGATCATATGAGAATGTCTTGGATATCTACCCGAAAAAGTAATTTAAATAAAATAAATAAATAACTAAAAGCGATAGTTGAAATTTATAAATTTATAATGTTTGATGAATAAATAATAAAATATAAATAGTCTGTATAAATCATAATGTACATATTTATACATAATATAAATGAGATGATAGATACATATAAGTACTTATATAAACGAAAATAAAAAAAAAAAAATACTCGATTAGCATCATCAGGTAGGCGATTTAATATAATACGCATTTCCTCTAGTTAACTTATCAAGAAAAGTTTGAAAGTTTGACACATTTATAACTATGGTCAATTTTATTTTAAATTTTATTCCAATAACTCGATAAATATATATATATTTAAGGAAGAATTTATAAATAAATAAATTTTTATGTACAATTATACGTCTAAGAAAAAATTATAAATAAAATATATATGTCTTAGCGTACGTATTATGTATATTTCTTGCCGTGTAAAATTACATTCAATTAATTTGATATGGCCTGATATATACATATATATTAAGCGCTTTGTATCATAATAAATATTGAAAATGTATCAGCTATGTTTTTGTATTTGGTAATCTAATAAACATTATCAATAAATCAACAAGTAATTAACAGAGTTTATTATCATACATAAGTACAAATGGTATTAAAAAATTAATTAATATTGATAAATTTTTTTTTTCAATCATTAATCTTTACCACATAATTTATTGATAGCAGACATTTCTGCATGAGATAGTGGTTTTAACATTAATCCTGGTACTGGTGTAGCATGTTCCAAATCACGTAACTCATTAACTTTAACTCTTAAATCACTTCGTAATTTGTTTATAGCAACGTCACATTCATTTTGATCTAGACAAAAAAATAAAAATTTTAATTATTATTTATAATAATAATAATAATAATTATTAATTATTAATATGTTGTGATATATGATGAATTTGAATTATTAAAACCTTTAACAAGTAATTGTTGAGCTTTTTTCGAAGGGATTTTTATTAAAATAGGCCCCAATGTTATCCAACATTTTTCAATATTTTGTTTTTGTAATTCTCGCATGCCAACTCTATCATCATTTCTTCGTTTATCTAATGAAACTATTTCTTGTCTATCTGTTAAAATTTCTCCGGCTTTTTTTTCAACTTCCTCAAGATAGTCCAACATTTGTTTTTGTTCCTTCATTATCTGTAATCATAAAATTATTTACCTAGTTTAACAAAACTATAAAAATATAATAAATAACATGTACTTATTTTTACTTAACATAATCTTAATATACATACATTTAAAATGATAATAAATAGAAAAACTATGACAATGCCCTTCTTAATTCTCGTTCTTTTCTTCGGTCATTATCTATAATATTTTTTCGATCTTTTTAACTTAAAGCTTTGACATTTAACGATGTAATATTTTTTTGCTTAACATCGATAACACCATTTATATCGTTACTTTTAAAATGTGTTATTTTTGGTTTTTGATATGGTTTTTCACCTAATCCCCGGCGATCTCTCTTTAAAATCGTTTTTACGGGATATTTTAAACCAGAACCATATGGACCGAGTCCATTTCTATCATTCCAACCATTATTTAACATTATTTTATAGCCTTTATTATGTATTGATAATCCATAAAATGGTATTGGTGGTTGTGGTGGTGATTCTAGATTTTTATTTAAATTATGAACAATAGAAGCTTGATGTTCCTTTAAACTAGTTTCTTTATAATTTTTTTTTACAAATTTCACAGTAAAAAGTATTTAATGAATTTATTTTATCGTAATTATCAGTTTTTAGATTTTTATTATTAGTTAAGTAATTATTTTCCAATAATTTTATCTATCTATCTTTAAAATTATTTTTTTTTTTTGCTAATTGTAGAGCTGTTAAACCACATTTATTTTTATATTGTTTATTAGCGTCCAACTCTAATAAAAATTTAACAATAGATTCATTTCCACAGCAAGCTGCTGACATTAATGGTGTCCAACCATAATTATCAAAAATTTTATTGACATTATTTTCATTTAAATAATCAATATCACCTTGTTCAACAGCTTTTAAAATTTTATTTGGATTTATTTTAATTGAATTACTATTATTATCATTAGTCATAATAGATATTATTTTTTTTTTCTGATTTAATACTTGACGAAATATTAATATTTTTCTTTTCACTAATTTCATTAATAATATCATCATAAATTTTTTTTGCTTCATCTCCACTGATATTTGCTTTTAAAAACTTATCTGTAAGTATCTTTTATTTCTTTTGTTTTGTCAGACAAATTTGTCCCAGACTCTTTTACAAAAATTTTTAAGGACTCTAAACATGATAGATTCATTATTATTTGATAACAATATTAATTTATTTTCAAAAATAATTAACCTCAAAGTTTTATATACTGTGTTTTACTACTAAAATTTATTTTATTTAATAAAAAACTTACTTAATATTATTTAAATCTGTATAATTACTAACAAAGTTTTATTTAATACGTCAACACACTTTTACTATTTAACTTGTGAAAATGAAAAAATGTGAAATTTGGAACAGCACTCTTGTATTAATTTTTTTTTCCTTTTACATATAATAAAATCAGAGTCGACTGTCGACAGTTATTTAAAATTGTTTAATTAGACTTGTGTTTTCATAATAATAATAATAATAATAGTAATAAAATAATGTATAAAAATTGTATTGTGATGCCATCTGTTGGAGATAAGTAAATATTATTTTGCCGTGTTATTTGAATGAAATTATTTATGTTCTGGTGGACACGTTGACGATGGTATACAAATAAGAGAAGCTGTTTTAATATTTTCAATAGGAATGATATCATCTAAAAATGCGACAGTGAATTGTTTAATAAACTCGAGTTCTGCTGAAATAAAAAAAAAAAAAATAAACGTAATTAGAAAACTTAAATTAAACATTTGGATTTATAAAATTTACCCTCTGCTTCTTTATAAAATTCCAACGATAATTTTGATGAAACTGGTAGAGCTGGTAAAACTGATGGTTTTATTACATCGATTGAATTTATTTTAACTTTTTTAGTTATTATATTTGATTCTACTATTTCATCAGAGTTTCTTTTTTTAATATTACAAGCTACGTTAGATTCTTCTTGATCTTTAACAATTTTTTGACAATCTGTATATTTTGTATATTTTGTATATTCTGTATATTCTGTATATTCTGTTATTCCAGTAGACATATTAAGGCGAGAAAAACTTGATATAATTTCATCATCTTCGAAAGGAAATTCTGATATACAATGATACTGAGCATAACGACTACGGTTATAGTAATCATTTGGATGATCAATTTCTTTTTTCATTTTACAATCATTGATCGCCTCAAAATAGAGAGCACAAGCAGTACCAGGGTTTTTATTCTTAGACTCCTCTATAATACCTTGTCTATCTAAAAAAAAAAAAAAAAAAATTAACATAACATAAATGAATAATAAAAATTGAAACGTAATCGAACTGGTAAAATTTGTAAAATTTATTTGTATACCTGATTTTGGAATTTGCCACTGGATCAGAGTCTGATCAAGATCTTCAATGTCAATGTGATTATGAATCTGTAAAGGGCACCCATTGCAGTCTCCTCGTGGCGTACGTTTGCTTTGAATCTGGTGACATTCTTGAGGAGGGTAATCTTTTCTCCTTCCTCTCAACCCATAAGCATGCTCAATATAATACCTGTACTCTCTTTCAAATAATCCAATATCCATCCTCTGAGTAAATTCACCTTTAAATAACTTAATTGTTTCTTTAACATTAAGACCGATACCTTTAAGAAATAGAGTGTACTGTAATCGAGCTTCATGTTTTAAATGGTGGTTTTTACGGAGGGTTTGATGTATATGTCTCATACAAGGTGGAAATCCCGTTTCAGATAACTAGTAGAAATAAAAAAATTATAATTTATAATTTATTATTAAATTATTAATTATTGGTTATTTAGAATAAAATAAATTACGTGATCGATATCTTTTTCTGTTAATCCACTGTCACTTAGAGTTGACTCTTGAATGCGCGTGAAAGTTGTGCGGGCATAATTACAAATGCTAGAGAGCCCGAAATGAGATTTTTCCGCCGATTTAATACTTTCTATCATCAAGTTAGATCTCTATAAACAAATCAAAATATATAAAAATAATTAATTAAAATTCCTATTGAATTTTTATATAATTTACCTTTCCTTTTATTAAATGGTGAAACTTTGCACACAATACTTGTCTCATCATGTTAAAAGGTACATAAGCTATTCCTTTATTTAAGTAAAATTCATGAGGATTCATTTTACATATAATATTATTAATTGGAATTTTAAAATAATCCATCTTATTATAATCATCTTTATTTTTTAAATATTTAATAAGCTCTAGTTTAAGCTCTTCTTTTTCTCTCTCTTCAATCTAATAAAATATAACAAAATACATAGTTGTCATTATTAAGCCAATATTATTTACAGACATTAATATTATTAATGTCTAATGTACCTTTGGAAAATCGTTATACATCTCTAATAGATTACTTAGTCCTTCATCATCCAGTGCAGAGGTTCGCAATTTGAAAAATTTTTCTTCAATCTCCATAAGTTCACGAAAACGATGACGATTAGAAATAATTGATGCTACTAACATTAAAAATGAAGTATGATCCATCATTCTATTCTTAACATCTTCATCGGACTTTGTTTTGTGTCCTTTGCTAGATAATAAAGATATGTAACAATTACTCTTGATACTCTTCAACTTTTCTATTGCAAGGAATCTTATATAGTCATCACTTTCCCGACGATTATCACTTACAACAATTGCAATTACTTTGAGAGCTGTAAATAGAAAAAAAAAAAAAAAAAAATTAATTCGTTGTTTAGTTAAAAAAAAAAAAAAAAAAATATATTAATCATAACATTACCTATAATCCTCTCACGTAAAAGAGGAATGAAATCTTGTACATTTAATGAGGGAGCTTCATGGTAAGAATAAAAGTGTATATCCAATGGATAGTAATATCGTAATGTATCTTTACATAAGTAATTAAAATCTAAATCCATGATTGATTCAGCTTTTAAACTCTACCAAATTTTTTAATTACGCACAAAGTTTTTTTTTCAATAAGAATATACCCGATAAATAAATTTAATTATCATCATAAATATTTAAATGTTAACAAATAGTTATTTGAGAGTTTGCAGCCCAGAGGTTATCACAAACATTATAACATGATGATTCTACCGATTCTACCGCGTAAATCCTCCGCGTAAGTATGAAAATATAGCGCCTCTAACGGTTAAAAAAGACGAATTGAGAGAGAGAGCCTCTATCAAAGGTCTCGAAAGTTACAAAACAACAAAACAGCATCTTTACAAATATCGTAACCATGTCACGACGCCATCAACTGTAAATTTTAGTAATTATTTTTTACAACCGCTTCTGCTGATGCTGCCGTCGTTTATTCCGTTTATGACGTTTACAATGATTCTTTGTATGTATATGTACTTTCTTATGACAAACCATCTTTACTGCCGCCATATTACTACGCGTAATATCTAAAATATCCATAGTGAGAGTAATAATTATTATAATAATAATAATAATAATAATAATAATAATAATAATTATACTAAGAAACAGTCTGAAAATTTTTTATATTTAATAGTTATCTACTACACCGTAGGGTGTTTTATTAAAAAATAATAATAATAATAATAATAAGTAAATAAATTATTGCATACATCAATTTCTATAAATTGATTTTTTTTTTTTTTTTTATTTAAATTGAATTTATAAATAATTAAAATAAAACGTTTTGCATTCAAGGTGTGAGCGTTGGTATGTATAAGTGTAAATTTTACGGGGTGAGTATTTAATAAATAATATAAAGAATAAAAGAAATATTTTTTTTTATGATGAATAATTTATTAATTGATAAATTAAAATTATTTTCAGAGTTAAAAAAAATTTTTTTTTTAAAAATGTATAGTAACATAGACCCTTGGGAGCCTGGTTATGGGCCACCATCAGACAGAAGAGGTCATAACAATTCAGAGTATGAGTATCGTAATAGTAAATCACCACCAGAGTTTGGAGAGCTGAGAGAAATAGAGCATAGAGAAAGAACCCATCGGAGTCCAGATTATCGAAATAGTCATCGGCGTGAAAGGGATAGAGATCATGATCGTTTGCGAGATAAAAGGGATCGTAGTCGGGAAGATCGTGGTGGAGGTGGTGGAGGAGGAAACGGAGGTGTAGTCGGAGGAAGTGATCGTAGTTACAGAGACAACCGAGATGACCGTTACAATCGTCAACGAGAAAGGGGAGATCGGGGGGATTCACCAGACCGCGAACGTGATAGAGAACGTGATCGTGATCGTGATAGGGATCGTGATCGTGATCGCGATCGGGATCGGGATCGGGATCGTGATCGTGATCGTGAACGTGATCGTGATCGTTCTCGGCGTGATAGAGACAGAGACAGAGACCGAGAACGAGAACGAGAACGAGAACGTGAGCGAGAGCGAGATCGACGTGGTAAACGTACCGATGATCGCGATCGCGATGACGATCACAGTAGGGAAAGTTCAGATATCATGATGATGATAAGTGAACATGACCACGGTCGTTCTTATGGTTCATCATCAATGGAGGGTGTCCACTACAAGTCACAGACCCCAAACAACACCATTATGATACGTGGGCTCGCCCAGCATATCACTGAAAACGACGTAGGTTGTCAACTTAACGGCCCACAATAATGGCCACTCAAGTGAGATCTGTTAACGTTTCATCATCCATCAATGTTATCATTATGATGTTATCACAGGTGCGGCAAGACATCCTCAACTGTGGTCTCATGCCTAAGGACATAAGGTTAATCCGGAAAAAAGACACTGGTAAATATTTATTCATTTATTACTATTATTATTATTATTATTATTATTATTATTATATTATACGCTCTCATTATTAATTAATTATCCGGTATTAATATTTTATTATTATTTTTTTTTATTTTTTTTTTTAACTGTAAAATCACGTTATCAATTGAAATTAAAATATAAATAATATTTTTTTCTCTATTAATTAAGACGTATAAACATTCCATAGTATATCATATACATTTAAAGGTAAGTTTTTTAATTGAATCACTAAGTACCAAGGGGAAAAATAAAAATAAATAAACAAATAGAATATATATTTTAATTTTTTTTTTTTTTTCTAAATATATCACTTTGATAGATTGATGAAATTAATGGAGAATTATAAAAACAAGATATTTAGTTGAAATATAGAAACTAATAATTAAAGAGGGGGATGGGATTTAGGTATTGAGATTTCTTATAAGATGTTATGGTAAAACGACGTAAAACAAATGAAAAATGAAGAAAATAATAATAAAAATTAATTAATAACTATCATATCAATGGTTGGTGATGATGGCTGTGATTGCCTGGCCTCTCAGAGTAGAGATTGATTTCCATCAGGCAAAAAACGTGGATTAACTCTGGATCTCTGTATATTTGCTCTGTATAGGTGCTTCGCGAGGTTTTGCATTCGTCGAGTTTAATGCAACACAGGAGGCAACACGATGGATGGAGATGAAACAGGTAGTAACGAGTTCCAGAATCCAGATACTATCCAACTGATGCTTTTCTCAGACGTGCTTTCAACGCCCAGTGGTGGCAAGGGCACGGTAAAGCCAGCCGTCCAGTGGCCTTCCTCTGGGGGCTATGGCTCTACCAAACATCTATCAAAGGCTACTTTAATATATACATACCTTTATTATTTATTCATTTATATTTTTTTATTTATTTCATCTTGTTGTCTAGGAGTTGTCCAAATCACCTTACTTACTCCATTATTATTTTTATATTTTTTATTATTGATTATTATAAATATTAATTAGTTTGTTTTAATTATTATTTATTAATTTTCAACTATTGTTATAATAATAATAATAATAATAATTGTTATTATTATTATTATAATGGAAATAACAACAATAAGTCATCCTTTTAACGACCCCTTCAAGTTTTAACGTCAAATTAATAATATTTTTTTGGATCTATATTTTTATTATATTAATCCCAGCATTATATAGATCCACGAGGTTTTTTTTTTTCCTTTTTTTTTTTTTTTTTTTTTCATTTTTTTTTTTTTTTCATTTTTCAAAAAATAGTAAATAACAAAATACAAAATACGTAGCTTGATATATTATTTCATCAGCAACAGACAGACTTAAGGGACATAAAGAGGCTGGCGGAAGACATTGAACGGGATAACACTAAAATTCTATGTTTCAGGGGATTTTAATGCTGCAAGATCAATATCGTGCCCTAATGCAGTATAGTATACCAAAAGATATTCATTCTGATAAAGCTCCATCTAAAAATACACAAGATTGGCATTGTGTTAAGGTAATTTTTTCTCTTTTTCATTATATTAATAATAATAATGGATTTTATTTTATTTTTGAAATTAATTTTTCAAGTGTGGAGCTCATAATTTCAAAAGGCGTGAGACTTGTTTCAAATGCTCAGCATCTCGAGCTGAAAGTGAAGAAGGTGGTGAAGGTAGCGATGAAATAAGCTCACACCCTACAAATATTGTTTTACTACGTGGTCTTGATGTATTGACTACAGAGGATTCTGTTCTTCAAGCTATGAAAAATGCATCAGCGATGCCTATACGTAGTATAAGAATTGGACGTGATAGTTTAACAAATACATCTCGTGGAGTATGTTATTTAGAAATGGGTAATGTTGTTGATGCCATGTATTTACATACTGCATTAACAAAACAAGGATTATCTGTTGATGAAAGAAAAGTTGAAGTAACTTATTGTAAACTTAATAATCAAGTTAATCATTCATCAATATGGAAATCAATGGATAATCAACAGCTGCAACATCAACATCATCAACAACAACAACAGCAACAACAGCAACAACAACCTCAACGTTATACACTTGAAGATGTTGCGCAGTTAGCTGAATACAGTGCAAATATGTATGCTAAAACTCCAGCACAAAAAGCCCATTATATTCAATATTATACTCAATATTATCAGAATCAAATAAGCCAAGGTTCATTAATAACGTTACCATCATTAAATCAAACAGATAGAGTTAATGCTGCTGCAGCAGTTGCACAATCAGCTATACAGCAACTTCAAGCAGCTCGTAAATTAGGTGATGCCGAAGAAATGAGAGGTAGGCCAACACCAACAGCACCAACTACAACTAATTTATCCACTGGAAGAGTTCCAGCTCATGCAAATGATGGTAAAATTTACTGTAAGTAAATTTACGTTTTTTTATTCTTTCATTTTTTTTTTTTTTTTTTTTTTAACATTTTATAATAAATATTAATAATAATTTTTATTATATTAATAGCTATACCTGATGTCAGCACTTATCATTATGATGAACTATCGGGATATTATTATGATCCTAGCACTGGATTGTATTATGATTCAAATTCACAGTATTATTACAACAGTCACACACAACAATTTCTTTATTGGGACGCAGAATCATTTTCTTATCAACCAGCAAAGGTATATTATTTTTATAAATTATAAATAATTAAAATTAAAATAATAATAATTATTATTATTCTTTAATTTGTACAGACAAATGTTGGTGGAATTATTTCCGCAACAGGTGTAACATCAGCAATTGGATCAATAGGTGATGCTCCAGGTAATAATCCTATAATAACATACTCAGCTCAAGAATCATTATTAAAATTGGATGATGATGGTAAAAAAAAGGATGTTAAACAAGATAAAGTAAAAGTCGCTAAAAAAATAGCTAAAGATATGGAACGTTGGGCTAAAACATTAAATCAAAAGAAAGAAAATGCTAAAAGTAATTGGACTGTTGATTTGGGAACTTCTGGACTAGGAGTCAATAGTGGTAGTAATGATAACAATTATTCATATCAAAGCAATTTATCAGCAAGCGGTGGTGGTATCAATTGTATCAGTGGTGTCAGTGGTGTCACTGGTGGTGGTGCTGCTGATGCTGGTTATGCTATATTGGAAAAAAAATCATCATCATCATCATCATCAATTGTTAATAATAATAGTTATCAAGATGATGATGATCCCGGAAATAATAATGGTTTAGTAGCTGCTTATGGGGGTGGTAGTGATACTGAAGAAGAAATAGAAGATGTACAGCAGGAAGATCGTCAACACACTGATTGGATTAAAATAGCATGTTTATTGTGTAAACGTCAATTTCCAAGTAAAGATGCATTATTACGTCATCAACAGCTCTCTGATTTACATAAACAAAATCTTGAAAATTGGTATCAAGTTAGAGGTTTAGATCCAAATGATCCACAACAAAGGAATAATAAATATAGAGATCGTGCTAAAGAGCGTAGAGCCAAGTACGGTGAGCCAGATCCACCACAACCAAATAAGCTTAAAGAAAAATATTTAAAAACACGAATCGAAGAGGCTGAATCATCATCTTTATCTTCTAATTATAATCAAGACTCTAATAAAAATAATCCAAATGTTATTGGTTCTGACAATGTCGGTAATAAACTATTACAAAAAATGGGATGGAGTGAAGGTATGGGCTTAGGTAAAACTAATCAAGGACGTACAAGTATTATTGAAGCTGAAAGACGAGTATCAACTGCTGGTCTTGGAGCTAAAACATCTACTTATAGTGCTTTACCTGGTGATACTTATAAAGATTGTGTCAAAAAAATGATGTACGCTCGTTATCAAGAATTATCTGATACGTAATATATTTACCGTTTTTTTTTTTTTTTTTTTTCCCCTCTCATTTCAATTAAATAATAATTTTCATATTCTTATATTTAAAATAATAATTAAGACAATTTATAAATTACACAAAAAGTATAAAAATAAAAAAAAAATCATATAACATCTATTTATACGGATAGATTTGTATTTTTTCATAGAAACATTGCCAATGCGCATATTGAGAAATCAAATTGATAACTATAATTTAAGATTATGCTTTTACTTTTAAATTAATTAATTCATATATATTTGACAACTATCGACTTAACTGTATTTTGTAATTTCATTCTTTCTAATTACTTTTTATCACAATAATAATCTAAATAATAATATTGTTATTGCACACCAACTTAAATGCAAATAGATACCTAAAAAATCAATTTAAATCATACTATACTATTTACAAAAACATGAAGAAAAAAAAATTTAATCATGATAACAATTAAGTACCAATTATGCGAAAATTACACTGATATATTTCACATATTGAGCAATAATTCTGTATAAAATATAATAAATAAATAAATAAAATAAATTACTATAACGTATGTTCTATTCTATTGATAATACTGATATTATTATCTAACAATATTTGATAAAAAATTAAATTCAATTACCATTATAAAAAATTTTTTTAATTCCTAAATAAAGGTACTTAATTTTTAATATTTTTTTCTCTAATCATTTTTAATGGGAATAAAAATTTAATATTAAAAAAATATAATAATTTTGTACCTACGTCATTTGATATAAATAATATTATATAATTCTAATGAAACAATTAATAATTAAATTAATATTTGTAATTAAAAATTATATTGACTTAATTAATTATTAACAATGTAATCAATATAAAATTGAAAATAATATTATACATCTGCCAATATCCATGAATAAAGTGGACGTAATTGATGATCTAATACCGTATATTCTAAATTATTAAGTCCATCAGAATCATATCTTTTAGCAGCATTTTCCAAATTAGCAAATCGAGAATTACTAGGTGGTTCCTTTTTATGTGTTAACATGTAGTATTGTGCAATATTGGGTCCAAATCGCATAATCTTGAATAAAAAAAAAAAAAAAAAAAAAAAAAAAATTTTTATATAAAAAAATGATGATAATAATAATATTAAATAGTACCTTAAAACCTCTTGATTGTAAACGTCTGTAAAAATCATCATCTTCACCTCCCCATCCGTAAAAAATATTTGAAAATCCATTGACTTTTTCAAATTGTTTTCGTGTTAATGAAATAGCACCACCAAATAAACCAGTGTACGGTAGATTGTATCTAAATGTATTAACACTTGAGCTCATATGTCGTGGCATTTTAGTACAAGCATATATATTATTTGGATTTTGTGGTATCAAGTCAATATCTTGAAATATAAAACAATGAAAATCATTTATTTTAGTAGCTTCTTTAAAACCAACATTAAATAATTTAGCACGATTAAATTCAGTTAATGGACTTTGTTCAATAACAAATATTCTATAATCTAAATTTTGTTGCTGTAAAAATGGATGAATATAATTCATAAAAATATCTAATTGCTGTTTACGATTACGATATGGTAATATAATAGCAACATTAAACAATGGATGACAATTAAGTGGTTTCCATTGTCCGCCAGGTAAAATTCCAAGACGACGTGCCATCACCACTGGATCTTGACGATCATTTTCTTCTGGATACCATAATTCTGATTTATCATTATTATTATTATTATTATTATTATTATTATTATTATTATTATTATTGTTGTTGTTAGAATACACTGCTATTGTGCATGAATTATCACGCGGTTCGTATGATTTTTCAAGGTGGTTATAAATATCTTGAGCTTTTATAAAACTATAATGAGATGCAAATCGATTAGGATTCAGACAATAAAATAATACCATTATTGTTAATATTAAATACGTTAAATTACGTATATGTCCATACAAACACGATAAAAACATTTTTATAAAATTTGATAAATTTCTTGACATTATTATTATTATTTTTTTATCAGTCACACAATATTTATTTTTTAATTACTTATTATTTAACTATCTAATGTACCGTTTGATATAAATTTTTAATTGTTATTTTAAACCAACAACAATAGTAAACCATTGTGTGTCAGATGATTTTTAGTTTTTCAATACATGTACTTACACGTATATTAAATTCATTTAATTATTAAACTTGTCAAAATCGGTGTATCGGTTGTATTACTTAACAACTGAATTAATTAACTGGATACTGAGTACACTCACATCAACGTAATTATGATATAATAATAAAAAAATAAATAAAGATATACATAAATTCTTGTGAACTATATAATCTATTGACTGATTTGACTGATTGTTATATAATTTTATATTTATATATATTTATATATGTATATATGATGTATACATGTAGGAAGTAGGGATAAAATTTTTGTTCACCTCTTTTAGCCGTTAGAGGCGCTAAAATTCTAGAGAGCGTAGTTAAAGGGGTTGCAGTCAACTATAGTCAGACTGACAACATTCCGAATTAATAAGTTACGAGAACTGCTTAGAAAGTAAATATTAAATGTAATTTAAAATAATTAATTTTACAAATTTTAAAATTCCAAAAAATATAGTCTTAAATAAAGAAAATACTAAAGCTATATTAATAGAATAATCTTTCAAAGTCACAAAGTCTCAATAAGTTAAAAAACATAACAACGAAAATTTGTACGTCAAAATGATAATGAACAGACGAACACTCATTTAGCCGAAAAATGTATATAATTTTATATATTTAGATTAGAAATTTTTTTAAATTAATTATTTTAATTAATTTTAAATTAATTAATTTTTTAAAATGAATTTTATTTTAATTTACAAGCATGCATATAAAACACTCAAATTTCATGCTAGTAAAGGTGGACCATCTAAGAAAAATTTCCAATTTCTTGGATAATGAGTAATTTTCGGCCAAATCATTATTCGTATAGATGAGTATTCGGATGAATATACGTCGGAACGAACCTTTTTCAAAATCAAATTAATTTTAACTCTTGAGGAATATAAAACTTATTATATTTACTTATATTCGATAACTCGGTGTTTTATAATTATTTACAAAATTGTTTTTCGGCTGGTATTCTATTTAAGCTAATGTGTATTTTATAAACTTCGAATGTAGCGGAATTTTAAATTTTCTAGAGTTTTAATAATTCGGAATGTTGTCAATCTGACTGGTTGACCGCAACCCAGTTAAAGTATACTAAAGTACAGCTGCTTTTAAAAAACTTTTTCAGAATAGACTTACTCAAATACTCACAATAGGTAATTGAATAATTAACTATATAACTTGAATAAACTTATCGACTAGTACTTGTGCGTAAAAATTAATTTATTATAAATTGTAATACATAATAACAATTAATAGGTATACTCAAATAATATATATTCATTTCAATAAATAGTATAATAAAATAACAAATATAAAAAAAAAAAAAAAATTGACAGTGATAAACTTTTGAGTATACATACATAAATATATTTTTAAGTACTTTTATAATATGAAATTAAGTAAATAAGATATATCTATCTATATATCTTTTCTCATATTATATAATCCGATTTAAATGAATTTAGTATTTATTGAAGAGCCGTTAAATTGTTAAATTGTTGTAGGGAGTGCAGATGTCTTCTTTTTCATTCAATAAAATGTCATTTTATTCATAATTTTTATACACACGTCGCTTTAAATTCTTTTACAAGCAGGAGATATTTTGATGTTCAAAAGTCAACCCCAACTATGAAATAAAAATAAAAAAAAGTTGAGCCAATTGTTAACAAACAAAAACTATTTGTGACAAAAGGTTAAAAAAAAAAGAAATCGATCTTTCTATTATTATATAGGTACATACGGGGTGACACTGATGATGATCTACATTTGCTTTTTATTTTTTTTCTTATTCTTATATATGACATTGTATCTTTAATCTTTAAATTTACCTAGCTTTTATTATTTTCTCGTTCTTTAACGTCTTATTTTGCGGATTATTATAGAATAGAATTCAATACAATAATAATAAATAATAGGTAAGCAACCGTATATACGCGTATAGTACCCTGGATTATACCTTTACCTTCATTGAGATATCTCCATTTATATTTAAAGATATATTTATTCAACAATAGATATATCACTACCCGGCGGCTATTGTGCTATTGTTATTCGGTGGTTCAAAAATCAGAAAATCCTTCTCACCTTTTAAAATCTATATTTTAAAATTTTGGTAAATCTTTCAACCCGTGCAAAAGAAAATCTTTATACTGAATTATATAAGTTTTTTTTTTTTTTAATTTTTCTCACCCTGCTTATGTATTTTACTGTGAAATAATTTTTATTTACAAAGTTTATCTGTGTATTACTTTTAAAAACTAAAAATACTTAAAAAGTAAGATATATTAAGATAAATAAGAGGAAAAAAATAAAAAAAAAACATTTAGGATTTTATCTAATTTTTTAAGGTTGTCTCCATTAGCCATGAGTTTTCTAAAATAAAATTTACAAGGCCATGGAGGACGTCGATGATAAATCTACTGTTAAAATTTTTGATAGAAGAAGAAAAAAAAAAGATGTGAACTGCAACTGTCTGGATATATATTATAACACAATATACAATAACTCTACTCTACCACTATAGACCCTCAGGTCTCTACTCACACAGCGGGTTGGCATTTTATTATTATAGTAAGTACAAAAAAAATACCTTGACACTGTAGATATATATAAATATATATCTGAGCAAAGACCTACTCCACAGTTAAGTATAAGTAACATTAGTTGGGATGTATCATCTATCCATGTATAAATGATACATCCTAGTAGTTGAAAAAAGCCATGGTACTGTATGTACACAATATATATATATATATATATATATATATCTTCTATACTACTTCTTCATCTTCTTCTTACTCTTTATTCTTCTCAGCAAAAGTGGGGACAAACTTATAAAACTTTGGGGTAAATTTTTTCGAGTCAATAGTTGATTCAAAACCCGCATCGTGTTATAACATATATATTTTAACGTGTTTAGTGATGTTATGTTAATAGTTAATGTGATTGTTTCAAAAATATAAATAAATAAAAAAATGAAAGAAAAATAATTTAGATGAATTAATTTATTTATTGAGATTTAAAATAATGAAACAAACTTGGATTATTTTTTTAAGTTTTTTTATTGGTAAGTTTAAAAGCATAAAAATAATTTCAATTAATTTTAAATTATTTTATTTTTGTTTAATTATATATATATATATATATATATATATATATATATATATATATATATATATATAAAATGCGTTTACTTAGAAAAATACCTTACGATGTAACTTATTTAAGTTTTACTTTGGTGCGAACAGAATATTAATTGAAACAATAACATTATCATCACCACAGTACAAGTTTAATAAAAGGATAATGTACTACTAATTTACATAAAAAAAATTCTGTAATAAAAATTTAACGAGACAAGAATACAAAATACATATTATAGTATCACTCTCGGCATACATAATATTTTAAACCATCAATTACACTATTAATATTAATACTTCATTCAATATAGTTATTTTTTTATTTTTTCAAATACTTAATTTTATAAATTATTATTATCACACTGGTAATAATAAGCTACCATCAGTTCTTTGTATTGTATTGGTCAACATGTGCGCTACAGATTTTTGAAATTAAATCCAACACATTTTAGGGATCCCTACTTGAATATATAATTATGAGAATAAAAAAAAAAGTTACGTACACTTTTTAGATAAAATACATAGAAACATTTTTAACATAATTTTACTTATATAGTCACAACACATATGATTTATTAGACGTTGATAATATTATGAATAATATTATAAAATAAAAGTTTGCTTATTTGTCCGGACAGAATGATGATTAAGATCTCGTCACCTGAATTCAACAACGATATAATCAGTTAGATGAGAGGTCGAGTCTCTCTAATAATAATAATAATAATAATAATAATAATAATAATAATAATAATAATAATAATCTTTTAGATTTAAATCTTACAACTTTCTGTCGTTTATCATTATTCCAGCTCTTGAGTTAAACTTTTAATAGAGAGACCTTAAAGTCAACGGGTGGTTGGTATAAACTACGATTCTTCCTAAGATTTTTTTTCTCCAATGGACTTTCGTATATTTTATATACCTTTTTTTTTTTTTCTTACTTTTTGAGAATCATTTATCGTTATATGATATATATACTAGTCAAAGTATATTTTAATATTGCAGTTTTGAATTTTGGTAACATAATTCGGACTACACCGAAAATATATTTATATAAGCACAAATAATTAAATAAAAAAAATATATTTCTTATAATAATAATAATAATAATGATTATTATCCAATTGTTTTGATTAAAGAAATCAGTAAAGACTACAGAGTTTGGAGCAGTGATACTGCCTGGATGGATCAGAGTGGTAAACAATGTGAATCGGCTGTAAAACAAGTTATCAATGAAGATCGAGCAAAAATAGTTGATGATAGTCCAGGAAGATTACATGCCAATTGGTTATCGCAAGAGTAAGTTAAATAAATTATTAACACACATCTATTCAATTATTTTATATAGTATATTAAAATGTTCCAACTATTATTTTTATTTTATTTACAACAGGTGCGAAGTACGAACTGGACCAGAATATATTATTAGAAAATATAGATTTTATGAAAATGGAACATTTACTCTAATACGACATCATTATGCTGAAGAATCATGTAGTATTGCTACACATACTGTGGTTGCTACGGGAGTTATACGACTTTTGTCATCATCAGGATTAGCTCCTGGTGCAACAGAAACTAAATATCGGCTTGATCATGTTTATATAATTCCATTAACACCTCAGGTTTGTATTAATATTTACAATATAATATCAATAACAACAATTAACTTTAAAACTAATAATAATAATAATAATAATAATAATAATAAAATAATAAATTGCAGGTGGCTCACAAGTTTGGACATCGAGTTAACATTAGTTGTACACCCCAATCTCGTTGGCGAGCATTTGGGGCCCAAGTTATTTATGAATCACAGTCATCACAAAGATATTTAAATTTAAATTTAAATTTTGAAATACCAACTCATTATCCAATTAAACGTACTCAAAAAAGTTTACATCATCGGAGTAGTTATAGCAATATTAATAGTTTAAATTGTCTTGAGTCGTTAGGTATTGATTACAATGAATTAAAATTAATAAGGGTAGAAAAAAAAACAGCTACTTCAACAGCATTTGGATTAGGATTAAATGGTTATCCAAGAGTTGAACTTTTATTGGGTAGTTTACCACCCAATAGTTACTCGAAAAAATCTCATCGTTCTTCTTCATTGCAACCTACTGCTCTTATACGCAGTGATACGGTAATTAATATAAATATATTTATATTTATTTATGTATATATATATATATATATTATTTTTTTTTTTTTTTTCTTCATTTTAGACTCGCGGGTGTTTAATTTGTGGAGCAATATTACGGTCAACAAAAAACAATCCACCACTTTTACATCAAGTAGCAGCACTACCAGCTTTATTAGGTGGTTCATGGATTTCTTCAAGTTGTGAAAGTTGTGAGGGTGGTTTATGGATAAAACGTCAACTACAATTTTACTCTGGAGATTTTTTATGGACAGGCCGTTGGGATTATTATTCAGATCCAAAGTGTAATTACTTTTTATATACTGTAACGGCAGCTGGAAGTTATATCCAACGTCCTGAAAAATTAAAACACAATCAATTTTCATCTACAGATGATGATAATAAAGATTCTTCTTTATTAACAAAACAAGCTCACAGTAGCAGTAATTTATTAGCTAATAAACGTAGATATAAACGTAAATCTAAACAAGTTGAGGATAAAGATTATTCAAAATATGATAAATGGCACGTAGATTGGATAACATCTGATTCTGAAAAATTACTTGACATTTTAGGATCTAATTCTCTGCGTATGCCATTACCGTCAAATTTATTTAAAAATAATCCACCAACTCGATCAAATAGTCATTTAAATATTATTAATAAATTAAAAATATTTGTTGATACTACTACTAGTAGAACAATAACTTTTAGTAGTGATAAAAAAAATTTTCGAGTAAATTATATTGGTACTCACAGTGCTACTGATGATTCTTATCGTCATTTACTTGAAAATTCTCAACCATCGATGGCTGAATCTTTTACAATGATGTTAAAAGGTAACCAAAATGATGAATCATCAGTATCAAAAGTAAATGCTGATGAAAAAGAAGAAACTATTTTAAATAAAAAAAAATCATCTGTTTTATCCTCTAAAATACTAACAGGCACAACTGAATTAGATTTACATGTCGCTGAAAGTTTATTAATACCAGGGGATTTAACAATTGTTAATAATTGTGGTGGAAATATTGATGATAATGGTTACGGAGGATTTATAATTCGGCCTCTCAATTATTGGCCAAGAAATTGCGTTAAACATGCAATAGAAACACCTTCAACATTAGGATTAAGAGCTAAAATAGGGGTTAATTGGAGTGGTCAATACACTTTATTATTGGGACCACGTGATGATAATCTTTGGGAACCTCCTTTAAGACAATGTGGATCTACTCCGTCTTATAATTATGTACTACGTGCACATTTAAGATTAAGTCTTGGATACAAATACGGACTATTAATTTCTTCTTCTTCTTCTTCATTAAATACCTTTGCCCTTAATAAATATTATACCGTTATGTTTTTTACATTTACATTATTATATTCATTAAAAAACTATCATCATTTTTAACAACTTTTATTTTATTTAATTAATTTGTAATATAGTGTATATAAATTTTATTATACAAAATTATAAATAGATAAACTTTTTTTATTATTAATCATAATTAGTATTATAAAAAATTTTTTTGTAGACTAAAGATTTTATTTATTTATTTATAATAATAAAATAATACATTATGTGTATATATATATATATATATATATGACTATTTTGTATTTAAAATGAATGTCTAAATAACAAAAATAACTTGCATAAAAACTTTTTGTATACTTTGCATTTTTTTATCAACTAGGTATAAACATTGAACAAATTTTTATAAAACGTAAAAAATAATTATTGTGCATATAGATTTTAACCTTTAATATATAAGCAGTATTTATTATTTTTTATTTTATATAAATTAACATTATAATTTACGATGATATAAATAACAATAATAATGATATTTTTATCAACAATTTACAAATACATCAATAAATAATTAAGATATATTAATATATATATATATATATATATATAAGAAATAAATATTTAAAAAATATTAACAATTTATTCCTCTCACCAATAAAATAAACCTCTAAATATATATTTATGTTTATTTATAATTTTTCAGTCTCAATAATAAAAATAAAATAAATAATATTGTATATAACTTATATATATATATATATATAAATTAGTTTAATATTTTAATACAACCCTGAAATAATGTCTGTTACTTTACACCGATTTATAATATGATTTGATGAAACAGTTTTTATTTTTGATTCTATTTTATCTCCTTTAATATTAGGATTTCCAGAATATTTTCCTGCATTGAATCGATTTTGATTTAATCCAAATGCACCACCATGTGATTTATTGCTGGCCGTTGAGAAAATTCGTGAATCATTTATAAATAATTTATCAGAGGGTTTTTTATATGAATACGATCTAATAATTGACAAATCATTTATGTGACCATCATTATTTAAATTTGATGATCTACCAATATTATTATTATTATTTAAATTAAATTCATTTCCTAGATATATTGATTTATTTATTTTTCGTCCATATAACTTATCATTTTTTAATATTGATGATGATGTTGAAGATGAAGATGATGAGGATGATGATGATGATGATGATAATGATAAAAATCTGTTGTTATTATTTTTTAATATCATTTGTTTATTTTGCGAATTTTTTAAACTTTCTTGATTCTTAATTTTATTGTTATTATTGTTGAAATTTCTTTGTGTATTCTGATAAACTGTTGGAGATTTATTATTTTTAGAAGTACCTCCAATAACAATGTCGACTAATGAGTTTAAGCCCTCATCAATTCTATCTAAAGATTTTGTTATTTGTGTTGATTTTTTAGTTTTAATTTTAGATTTAGAAAATTCCTCAGACAAATCAATTTTGTAAGGTTTAAAATTCGATGATGACATTGATCGATGTAATAATATTATATTATCGTAATAATTATCGACATAATCAAGTCTACTGTCACTACCTATTACTTTATTACTATTACTATTATTATTAATACTACTATTACCATTAATATTTTCCGTAGATTTATGATTTGATACCTGATGGCATGATTCTGACCTTCGTATTTTTTTTTTTAAATTTCCATTATTAATAATTTGTCTACCTGTAACATTATTATTATTACTATAAAACGACGGTGAACTATTGTTTGTTTTAAAGCTTACATCAAATAAATTCATACTTTCAAATTTTCTAATACGATCCTCTATTTTAGTGGTCGTTAATTTTGAAGGATTAAAATTTTTTGAATCATCTAAATTATTTTGACTAACTGATCGTTGTAATATTTTTTTATCAACTCGATTATTATCATTGTTATCACCATTTTCAAATAGCTCAAGTTCTAAATATTCAGCCGGTTCTGTTAAATTACTGGCAGTATCTGAGATACTTTTATTTTTTTTTTCATTATTATTACTATTATTATTATTATTATTATTATCGTTTATGTTAGTCTTTAAAACTTTTAATTCAGATACTCCTTTAATCATTATCCCATTTTTACTCAAATAGAGTCCACCATCTTCATTTTTATAAAGATGATCATCATCATCATCATCATCATCTCGATATTTTAATTGTACGGCGCTAAGTAATGAATCACTTTCATCGGCAAATATTTCATCGTCAGTTGTACATTTATTTTCATTATTAATAATATTATGATCATTATCGTTATTTTGGTTTTTATTATTGTTTTCTAAAAAGTCATCACTTTGATTATTTCCAGTAATAATGGCTGATAAACATGGTGGAATTTTTCTCGGAGGTTGTGGATACAAAATAGCTGGTACAATAGCTTCTTCGACTTCGGGCCCTTGTACAATTATTTTTAAACTTGTAACATCATTTGTTTTTATTGTTTGTCTTGATAATTTAGTTGTATCATTGGTTTTATTACAATAATTAACTTCAGTATCGTTTAAATCTATTGAATCTATTGAATTAAATAAATTAGATTTTATTAAATGTATATCATTATTAGTAGATAATAATTTAATCATCGATTCATTTTCGTAACTAGCTTTAGATAGAGATAATTTTTTTTCTTTACCTATCCGTACTTGTATTTGTTTTTGTTTTTGTTTTTGTTTTTGTTTTTGTTCTTGTTCTTGTTCTTCTTCAGCATCTTTAACAATTGTACGTAATTCTTCAATTACATCATCGATAGTTGTCTCTTGATCATTGTCAATATTTATTTTTTCAATTATTGATTTGTGTTGCTGCTGTTTATGATAATGATGATGATTATTATTATTATATAGATGTATATCTTCTGGACTACTTGAACTCCTCGAACACTCAGAAGAACTTATACCTTCATCTTCACCATTCAAAGATAATCTCTGTAGTCCTTTAATATCTGATGGATTTAAATTATAATTCGTTTCATGATGATCAATTCCATTGATTATACTGTTATAATTATTATTTGTTATTATTTTTTCATCAATTTGTAATTTTTTAAGTTGATTTTGTAATATTATTATTTTATTATTAAGTATCGCACAAGTTTCTTCAGCTCTAGCTAACCGTTTTTGAAGACTATCAACATCAATACAATTTTGTGACCATTTGTAAACTTGTTTTTTTAATAAATCAATCAATGATTTATCATTGTTAATGATTTCATCTTCTGATAACCATTCTTGAAGCGCACGAGGCTCAAGACCAGCTTCACATGCTTCTGCCTACAATATTAAAATAAAATTATTTATTTATTTATTTAATTATATAATTATTTAAACACGTCTAGTCTACATACCTGGATATAAAGCTTTGTTTGTGTTTTAGGAGCAGACTTAATAAATGCATTAAGAAATGAAATTCCGGCAACTCTTAAAGCTATCGCTGCTCGTGGTGCTAATAATGCACCAGCAAGAAATCTAAATCGTCCTCCTTCCCCATAACGTAATCGTAATGTTGAAACAGCCTCTGAAACTGCAGTGTACCCACCGGGTATCTGACATACCTTCGTCAATAGCTTTAAATTTTTAATAAAAATATAAATAATTAATAAATTTAATATCAAGTAAGAATAACAATAATCTAAATAATAATATTTATATATACTGATGATCATCATGTATATTTATTATAACTTTTGTGTCGAACGGTTTCTTTATTAAATATATGTATATATATTGTGGAATGTAAGATGTAACTGTGTTAAAGTCATCTTAAAGGATAAATAAAAAATTAACAAGTAAACTGAAAACTGGTCTTCTGTGGCAATATATTACCACTGGTTGCTCGTGTGTTATATTAAGTATATAACGTAAAATTTAACGGGATACTACCTAAAACTTAAATAAATTGTTTCTTCAGTGGCAAGATAAAAAATAAATAATACTATTAATTATTGATTTTTTTATAACTGTTTTTAAAAATTTAAATATATATATATATATATATATATATAACTGTAATACACTTTCATTCTTTTTTTTTAATTTATTAAAAATAATTAGAAAAAAAAAAAATTACTATAAATAACAGCATCTGAATATTTTTATATCCTAATAATAGCAACATCAACCACAAAAAATAATAACTGCAGTAGCAAAAACATATGTGCAGTATTAGATACAATGTTGATAACTTTGCTATATAATAAACAGTACGGTAAACTAAAAAAGTAAATAAATAAATAAATAAATAAAAAGTATACATGATACCTGAAGAGCCAGAACCCGAGACCGGTTTAAGCTACTTGTAAGACAGACTGCAAGTGCAACAAGTCCCGGTTGTGCTTGTGACAAAAGTCTCGGAGCATCAGCACATCTCTCAACGCATGCTGCTAAACATTCAACACAACCGAGTTCATCAAGTGCTGCTCTACGTGTACTAATACGCTGTCCACTTTGTCCAGCTGATGGAGGTGTATTTTGTATTAATTGGACCCCCCTCAGTGTCTCCAATAATAAAGTTATTCCGTCAGCTGGTGAGCTTGAAAATTCTTGCACAAAGCTGTAATATTAATAATAATAATTATTATTATTATTAAAATAACTATTACTATTTTTTTTAACGCCAACATTTAATTTTTTTTTAATGTCAAATCCTTTTCATACATATTATATACATACATATATCTTCAACTTAGTATACTTGTGTATAGTAATGCTGTGGTAACTGTTAATCTTTTTCCTACTTATTTTATTCTTTTGATGTAGCATAACACGTCATTTAATTGCGTTGTTAAAAGCTAACTAACGGCATCGTTGTCGGCATCCGCAGATGTCCTTTACTACCTATACTTGCCTTTATCAGGGATTTCCTGTTCAAGCAGTATTACGATACATTTATATTATTATTATTATTATTTTTTTTTTTTTTTTTCCCAATGTTTTAATATAATAAATCAGTTTTCAAGTTGTAGAAAAAAAAAAACTATATATATATATAAGATTTTTAAAATGGTACTCATTATTATAATAGTAATACTTTTTTTTTAATTATAACAATACATACCTAGGAAATGCAAGCCGTAGATCAGCACGTAATTTATTAACCAATTCGCTAACAGATGTAAATTGTCTTAACGTCATTTCACCACTTGCTGATATATAACCGGAACTTGAGCTTGTTGTAGAGGGTAATGTCCCTTGAGAATCATTATCATTAGAATTGGGACGTCTGCCCCATCTTCTTAATGCTATAGCATAGTCTTCAGCATTATATGTCGGTGGACGTAAACGGTCCTGTTAATTATTTTATAACAATTAAAATAAAGTAAATACTATTAAATGTTTTGTTTTTAAATGTTCTATACTGACTGTCAACAATAATAATAAGAATAATAAAAAATTAGTTAAGCAATAATAAATATTTACCTTTTCTTTCAATAAACTCCAAGGTTCAACTGTTAACATATCTTCTTCGGCATTTGGTGACATTTTTTAATAACTAAAACAAAAATTTTTAAAATTCACGTTATACGTATGTATATAATTATAAATTAAGGACTGATATATGATTATTATATATGTATAAAAAAGTGATAAATAAAAGAGTACATAGACACAGCGTATATGGTAGTTGATATACATCGTAGTATAGGTTTAGGATATACATACTAGCTATTAGAAGGGTGAATAATTGTAAGGACAGGCGGTCTGAGTACTCTGAGTCTGAGACGGTCAGTCAAACGTCCTAAGACCAAGGCATTGACCTGTCGTCTACATATTACATAAATATATATGTATTTGTACTTGCATTCAGATCCCATTATTACTATACACATCAACATCTTAACATTTATTGCATTAATATTTTAATTTACATCTTTCGAATAATATTATCATCACTAATAAGATAATAGAATTCATAGAGTAGACTATATAATACAAAAGTGAGATAATACATGTACAAATATATACTTATTATTATTATTATTGTATATATAGAATGTTATTGCTCATGCCATTTTGGTCAGATTGACTAGTAGATATGATTCAAGCCCATAGATGGACGCTTTCATCTTTCCTTATTTTCGAAAGATATTCTCTCTTCCAATAAGTTCGATGGATATCCATCGAACTTGAATACTAGTAAAGCTAAAAGCTTGTGGTATCTGTTCTGATTGTAAAGGTGTTGATTAACTGAAAGATAGTGAAAGAAAATTTGAATGAGAGCAAAGACAGACTTTGAAAAAATAAATGGGGTTTGGTTTGCCAAGCCAGGAATCGAACCTGGATCTCCCTGATAACATCCGGTCTATACTAAATTATTATTATTATTGATAGTAATAAAAAAAAAAAAAAAAACAAAACGTTATTATAAAAAATATTGAATTTTATATACATATTCTATTATGTTAATTAAAAACAACAACTTCCTGTTAGCGTCATGGCTGAAGCGTAAAAAAAAATAATATGAATTACGAAGAACGAATAAAAATGGAAGGTTTGTTGGTAAGTTGCGTTTAACTATTCATAATATATGTATATATAATGTTTCACGCTTCTGTTAATCAGATTAATATTATCAAGAGTTATAACATAATACATAATAATATAAAATATTATGGCTATACTATAAACAACGCATATTACTTTTATCATCACTTTTAAAGAAAAAAAGTTTCATCTTAAAAAATAATATATATAAATTGATTGCTGATAGGAATGGCTATCAATAATTAATAAATGTATATATATATATTATTATATATAATTAATTTAAACATTAACAATAATGAGATTATATTTTCTCACAATAAAATTGATATAAAACACCGAGAAAAATATTTCATTTGCATTTATTACTTTATTATTTTTATTTTTATCACATACTACTTTTGATATACATATGTATAAACACTTTTCATTGTCTTGTATGGTAAATATTTTCTACAGAGACCGTAATATTTTTATTCTCTTTGTCCGTTAACTTGTATAATTATATATATATATATATATATATATATATATATATATATATATATATATATATATATATTTATGAATGCACTCTCTCGGGTATGTATTGTTATTAATAATTCATGTATTTTTTTTTCTTTCTTACTAAATTAATACACTACAATTATATTATATTAATAATAATCAGTTTCCATGCGTAACCATAGAGTTTTCGTTCTATTTATACACAAATAAATTTTGTTTCTATTGCAATTTTGACTGAATTGTAAAATTTATTTCTTCCATCATTATAATTATAATCATTACTATTATTTTGCACATAATATGAAAATAAAAGAATTTTATATTTTTTATAATAGTATACATATATCGTAATTAACCATATAAAATAAAAAAAAAATTAATAAATAATCATTTTGATTAATAATATTAATAAATGAAATTCATGTAAAGAAAATCGATTTTTATCATAAACATAATAACAATAGTTTTAATAAAAAATAAAAAAAAAAAACCAACAATAGAACGCAGCATGATTCAATCTTTTCTCGTTATTAATAAAAGACAATTGTATATTAAGTAAAGCAAAATAATTTTCATTCACATGATTTCTTTCTTATTTCTTTTATTTTGAAACTTGTTTAAGGATATTTTATTTTTAAAACGCATCAATAGATATTTTTTAATAACAATAAACAATTTAATTCAAGTACACATATATGCTGAGAATTTTTCTTTCATCAGTGACAAGATAGTTGTATTATAACTCTCTATGTAGTTTTATTTATGGAAATAAATGCCATACAAGTGTTAAATGAATTGTACAAATGTCGTTATAATTACAATTAGTATCTCTATCATTTAGACAATAGTAAATGTAGGTCATAGTAACAAAAAGTATAATAATGTTTTGTCTGCTAAAAGATTTATCTTTTTATTCTATTATATGGAATATAAATAATAAAGAAAATTATGTTACTTAATATTTATAGTATATAATTACAATTACATTAATTATTATTGTAAATAAATTAAAGTTTTTAAATTTCGTTTAGATCAAATAGGAAAAAGTAAAGAGATTAACGACGATATATATATATATATATATATATATATATATATATATATATATACACGTTCTACTAAGTGTACTTAATATTATAATTTGATGATGATAATAATAATAATAATAATAATAAACGGTAATAATAGGATTAAAAAATTGTCTCGCGTGACGAAAAGTATATGAATTTACAGGACAATATTCATAGTCTAGATTTTTTATGTATTTTATATTATATATTAAAAGAAAAATGATAATTATTATCTGCGTGTGTCAAATCTGATGCAGTATCATCATCTTAAACATACCTTTGCTTGTCAGTTGTCACGCTCTAAATAATCTTATACTATATATCTATAATATTAGCAACCCCTTCATTATTTAATAAATTTTCTTTAGTATAAACTTTCTATGTCTTATATATAATGATGATATATACGCTATCACTTTTAAATAATATTATAGAGTTTAAACTTCTATCTAGATTAAACAATTATCAATTGTATAAAATAGCTATTTAATTAAAATAAAATTGAAATATGTTATAAATACCTTGATAAATAAATAAATAAATAAATAAATAATATTGATGGAGATTATTCATAAACAACTTTCAAATGACATATTAATTTAAATATATTAATATGAGAATAAGCTTTATTATTAACTTAAAGTTATGATAGCTGTGAATAGTTGTGAGTAGTCACGAGTATAGTCGCGGGTTTACTGACACATCAGAATCAGAATACAGAATATCCAGACTATCGGACAACGGAGTACCGCAGAGTACCGGTGCAGGTTGATGGCGTATTCCCCTTCTCCTTTTATTCTGAAATTACCTGAACTCTAAGAATGATGCGCGTCATCCTGATACGTGATGTATAGTGATGTATAGTAGTGATATGTAGTGTTGTGTGATTGTACCTGATACGTGATACGGTGATACGTTGTAAGTGGAAGGGGTAGGAGAACGAGAACGGGAACTATATGCAATAAATAATCATCATCATTGATCATTTATAGTATGTAAGGAGTAAGGATCTATCTAACACTTATCTATATAATATTAACTTGTAATAAGATTATTAATTAGACGTCCAGGTATATAGCGTACATTGTTCTCTTTCAGTTGACTTTTATTATCAATTAAATACATCATTATTTTACATATTTTTTATTTTTATTTTTATTTTACTGGATAAATAATATTCATTTTCAATATTGATTTAATTTATAAAGGCAATTGTAATCAATAATAAGAGAGGTAACACTCATTTTAATTATTTTTTTTTCATGAAATTGTTAAGTTAAATTTTGGCGCCAATTTCAAAAGCCTTACCCAGTTACCCAGTAGAGGCGCTTTACGGAGTGTATAGTTTCTATAATTTTAACTGCACACTATTCTCACTTATTCACTTATTTGTATTTGTAAATTTTTATATATACTGAGTACTCCATGTATTTACTTTATGCATATTATTATTGCTAAATTATTTAAAATTGTTTGATTATTATTATTATTATTATTATTATTATAAAATAAAATAACTTGTATTACAAGTTAAAATTTTTACTGTAAAATATAATCATTATCTTTTATAAAAGTATAACATATTATTTATAATATAAAAATTCAAATACAGTGAATATATACAAGTGCAGCAATATATGTATAAGTACCATAAACATTAATTGTTATTTATGGTTGATTAGTTTTTTTAAATAAATAAACAAACATATAAAAAATAAGTTATTTTGGTTGTATACAGTGAGTTTTGTAAAATAAAATTGTTGACTAGGTTTATTAGATTTACTGAGTAGTTTACTCAATCATAATCAGTAATAATATTGATGTATATATTTTGTATTTTAGCCTCTCAATCAAAGCTAAAATGGCGTCAACGGAACAAATAGGATCGAATAAAACATGGGAATTATCATTATATGAATTACACCGTATATCACAAGATGCTATAACAGATAATACCGAAATAGCGGTCAGTCCCAGAAGTTTACATAGTGAATTAATGTGTCCTATTTGCTTAGATATGTTGAAAAAAACAATGACAACTAAAGAATGCTTACATCGATTTTGTTCTGACTGTATTATTACAGCATTAAGAAGTGGCAATAAGGTAACAATAATCACTAATAGGTGGTTTTTTTTTTTTTTTTTTTTTATTTTTTTTTTAAATGTATTTTGTTTGTATATTTAAATAATTTATTTTCAGGAATGTCCGACATGTAGAAAAAAATTAGTTTCTAAAAGATCTTTGAGACCTGATCCAAATTTTGATTTATTGATATCAAAAATTTATCCCAGTCGTGATGAATATGAGGCACACCAAGAACGAGTGTTGGCCAAATTAAATAAATCACACTCACAAGCAGCTTTGGTTAATTCAATAACTGAGGGTATTAAATTACAAAGTCAAAATAGACCTCAAAGATCCAGAAGAACAGCGAATGAATCAGAAAATAGTAATAATTCAACAAATTATACCACCAACAACAATAACGGTAACAATAATAACAACAGCAGCAGCAACAATAACAACAACAACAACAACAACAACAACAATAATAATAATAATAATAACAATAACAACAGCAGCAACAACAACAACAGCAATAACAATAATATAGTTTCAAATATTAATGCGCCCGCAACACCGAATTCTGTAAACAATAATATTATTACCAACCAAAGTGACTCATCTCAAGGTGCAACAGCGTTAAGTAATAATAATACTGCTAATTCTACCTCTAATAATAATAATAATAATAATAATAATAATAATAATAATAATAATAATAATAGTAATAATAATAATACGGGTGGGATTAATTCAAATTCAATGAACAATATTTTACAAGCAGCTAACAGTCCAACCATTTCTGGTAAAAATAACAGAGTTTATTATTTAGGAAGTGAATAAATAAACACTTTAAACTAAATAAAAAAAGATTTTTAAATTTTTTAGGTACTACGTCAAGAAATTCTACAACACCTTCACCAAATCCAGCTAATCAAATTCCTAAACCGGCAAAACGTCTAAAAAGTTTAATAACTTCGGAAAATGATTCATCAAGTGCTGAAGCTGAAACCGGTGGTGGAGATTCAATGGTTGATACAGAAGGCGAAGGACCTAGTGAACCATTGATGCTTAATGAAATTGAACTAGTATTTAAACCTCATCCTATCGAAATGGCTGGTGACAATTCACTAATTAAAGCTCTAAAAGAAAACAGTATTCGTTATATTAAAACAACTGCTAATGCGACTGGTATGTAGCTAATATTTTTTTTATATACATATATTAAATAATACTAATAATAGTAACAACAACTCGATAATTTTTCTTTTATTATTTTTTTTTTCTCTTTCAGTTGATCATTTGAGCAAATATTTAGCAATGCGATTGACATTAGATTTAGATACAGAACTACCTGAATCTGATAGGCTATTAAATTTCTGCATTTATATTGCACCACAACCTGGTCAGTATATTGTTTTAAGTGGTGCGCAAACTTTACGTCAAGTAAATGATAAATTTTGGAAAGTTAATAGACCATTAGAAATGTATTACTCTTGGAAAAAAACCTAGGGAAAGCCCCGTCAGCTAGTTTTCGACGCAAGCTAGTCATGTAATGCGTCATTTTTTATATTAATTCAAATTAATAACATGAGTTTTTTTTTTTTTTATTTAACTAAATCAATAGTAAAATTTTGATCGATTTATTTAAGTAGTATTTATATTCAGTAAAAAATTTATTGATATAAGTTACAAAAAAAAAATACTTGCTATTATTCCATTTATTGTAATCTATATAATATAAATATAATAAACGTACGAATAGAGAAATATAATATAATCATTCTAAAGGTTGATGATATATTTAAACAGTTTCAAGCTAATATAATAAATACATTTTCGGTGCGATAAAGATGTATATATATATATATATATATATATATATACATTTTATATTATAGAAAATCCTAAAAAATTTAAGTACAATAAATATTCCAAGTGTCAATAGTTTAAGATAACTTTCATAAATATAATATCAGTTATATACAACTGTACAAAATTCAAAAATAAATATATTAAAATTTTTAGTTGTAAGTATTGTCAATTTTTATTTATTATTATTTCATAAAATGGGATCTCTTTGAATATTTATTCAAATAATTATCTTACATTATCGTAATATAAGCAATATAAGGTGGACGGTGGTGACGTTTGTAATTCGGTGGATCTTATTAATTAAGATAACTCCAATACCTTAACTAGAAAAGCTCTTGATCTGTATTGAGTATGAATAGGTTACTTTGTTTGTTAGATTTTGGCACTAAATAAATTATAAATTAAGAATTTTTATTAGCCTTTGGTAACCTTGAGAGCCGCTAAAATTCTAAAATTTGAGTTTTGATATAATTTATATTTTTTTAGCTATTTGGCGCTATACACTATGTTAACTTTGTGTAAAAAATTTTATTATGAGCTTCATAATATAACATATATCAAAATACACCCTAAATATAAACAACTTCGGATAGATTCGGTCAAGTTCGGTATCCATAAGACACCTATGCCTATAGGTATTGGCTTTCAGTGGATTTTAAATCCATTTCAACGCGGCAGTCAGCTGAATTCAGTCAGTATAGAAGATTCAGTCTTTAAAGCGCAATATAATAAAGCTATACAAATATAAATATACCATATAACGCGTTTATTTATTTTTTTTCTTCTCCAAATAATAGTGTCATTTTTAAATATTATATACTCTATAAATTATATTGTTTTGAGTAAAAAATTTTCTAGTTGCTTTTTATTCATATTAAAAAAAAAAAAAAAAAAAAAAAAAAAAAAACTTTTTTTCAATATAACTTTGAAATCAAATAAATAATGAATCTGACAATAAGGTAAGTAATTAAACACAAAAAAAATTATTATAAATAATAAACAAAAGCTATCAAGGAGAGTTTTTAATTAAGAATTTGAATTGCAATAATTTTAATAAGTTTATTTAAATTTATTTCATTGTAAATCTGATTCATTTAATTAATATTATATGATAATTATAATTATAATTAAATAGAAATAAAAAAAAATCTCTAAAATTTTTATAGAGATGTTGTTTATTTTGAAAGTTAGTAGTATAATATATATTTGCATTTATAATAATAATAATATTTTAAAAAGTGAGTGTAATGTGTAAGGGGTCGCCCACGTATGTTAAATATATATATATATATTTACCTAACATATACTTACGTATGGTGTATACACATAAAAAAGTCTTATCCATATACAACAAATGTATTACTCATAACTAAAATGTATTTATTGAAAAAGAAATTTTAATAATAACTTATCATTAAATTTTATTAATAAAATTATAATTTATTAAGAATTTTTAAGGATAGTAAAAGAGATTATAAAGAGAATAAAGAATGGGGGAGCAGAGGGAGATAAAGGAACAAGAGACTACTACTATAAGTATGTTTTGATATGTGATATCAGTTGGGCAGAATATATATTTTATTCCGTTGTACACGCTTCAATGGTTAATATTTTAAAAGGGTAAAAAGTTTGGTTAAATATATATATATATATATATGGGGATGATTCTTGCTACACTACGGTTTTTATTCGAATTATTTATATTTATAATAACATACACATTTTGCAGGATAAATTTTTATGTCTCCTTTTTTTAAATAGTAGTTCAAGTCTACTGATGAGTTTTACAATATATAAAATATAAATTATTAAGTATAAAAAAACAATTTTATCCATAATGTTTTTAATAAATAGTTTAAATGTTTATAATGACACAATAGGCAAAGTTCCAAGACATATAGACATAAATACAATACGGTTAATACGGAAAGCGGTTGGTATATAGAGATGCACCGTTATGCATAAAAGATCAACATGGGTCATACGTGAAGAATCGGGAATCTAGGGAAACATTTATACCGTATTTGATTTTATTAATAAAATTAAATAATTAATAATAATTTTTAAGTTAATCATGTAATTATTTAATTTTTTAATATACTAAACAGAATAACATGATTTGAATTAAATTTATATATATACAAATAAAGAGATTAAAATCGAGAAAGGATGTATAGAAGATACCAGAGTAATAAATTAGATATATGTAAGAAGATCTAAAGATCCGCTATGAAAAAATTTTTTATAGACTTTTGTACTTATATACTATATAGTTATTTATTTTTAGGATTCGTTTGATCCCAATCTACTTACTTAAAAAAAAACGTTACATGTATAAACAGAAGTCTGTTATTTGGTCAATTAAAAGTTAAAACCCTTGTAGTATTATATATTGAATTTTTTTTTTTTTTTTTTTTTTTTTTTTTTTTTTTTTTTTTTTTTAAGTGAATAATGGACAATGACGCGTTTATACAAATAAGTATATATAATTAGTATTCAGTTTTATCTGGAAAATAAGTTTTTAATTTTTTATTAAATATACTCTTAATTATTAGAAATACGTCAGCAGAAGATTACTTTAATATCAAGTATTTTATTGAATAATAATAAATAATAAATTGTAGTAGATTGATAATACCTTAATAGAACTTAAATAACAGATCCAGAATTATTTATACTCAATAAACATCAGCCTCTATTACTGTTATGTTACTGATCGACTGTTACGTTAAAGTTGTCTGAGCCTTATACGCGTTAACATTAAATAAACGAGTAAACATTAAACTTTAAAATGTCAATGATACTGTACTTGACGATAAATTTACGCCATTGCCGGAGATTCCACTTGCGTTTGTAATTCTTATCCTTTACTTGTATTATACACGTTGTGAAAACTTGTTATATACAGTATTCTGCTCACGTATTATTTTAACATATTTACATCGTATACGAGCATACTTGTCTTAATATTGTTATTATTGTTAATATTTAAATTCATATATATAACACTTAATAATAATTTTATTGAAAATAATTATTTATAATAAATTTTCAGATTATGGATCGTTATCACATCTTTATTAATAAGCTTGGTAATCAGTATCAAAGTTGATGAAAATACTTTTGAAACAGTACACACAAGTAATGCTGCAATATTAAATCGTTTAGGATTAACACCTATTGAAACTCCTGTGAGTTATTTCAAGAAACGTTTATCAGGACCAGAACCTCAAGAATTATCATCATCATCATCATCATCATCATCATTACATTATTCAAGTTCACTATCACGAATTCATCAACCGTATAGCAGACGTCATGGTCATTATGACAGTCATGTATATGTGGTAAAATTACCAGCAAGCCCGCCTTATTATACGGTGACGAAGCCCGTTAAGCCCACAGTAAACCCGATTGATAAATATGATAAAAAAAAAAATATCTCGAACAAAAATGGTATTGAAAATAGTATTTACGGTGGTTCAAGTACAATACATAAACCATCATCTGTTGGATTTAACAGTAATGGTAAACCTGATAAAATTTATCACTGGAATCTTCCGCTAATGAAAAAAATTAATGAAAAAAAACGACTAAATACACAATTTAAAATGGATTTATTTAAAAAAAATTATTTTAAAAATAATATAAATGAAATTTTTAATAATTATGATGATAAAAAATTGATTAATTATTTTATTACATCGTCAAAATTAAATGTTTTCAATGATGGATTTAAAAAATTAATCAATCTAAATATGATTAAAAATTATAATAATAACAATACCCAAACAAGGAATAATGATAAATTATTAAATTACTATAATGAAAAAAGTAATCATAACGAATCAACAAAAATGAATGACTTTTTAAATAAATTTAAAAATGAAAATAATTATACGCGAAAAATGTACCGATTAAATGAAGATATTTATAAATTAAACAACTTTCATAATTATTTATTAGATAATAAAAAAAAAAAAATGATAATTACTTTGATAAAAATATTAAGGAAATCGAAAATACAAAACAACGGAAAGTTAAAACATCAATGACGTATTATGCACCAATTACAACGGAAGCTACTGAATTATCATTAAATAAAAATAATAAAAAATATTTTTCAGGCAATGGAAAGCCAAAGGCATTTTATGTTATGGAAAAAAGTCGCCGCAAACCTATTTACTACCATTCATTATTGCCATAATCATTTATAATAACTTTTAATCGTCATTTTTATATATACAATATATTAGCTTATTAGTTTTATAATATAATACAAATACTTATATCTATTTTTTATTGTCAAGTATACAAAAAAATAAATTTTATTAAACATTAAGAAGCATATATTGAATAGACTGAGAGAATAATAGACTTTTGTATAATACTCTCTATGAAACCTTTTAACGTTATATAATATTCAATCAATTTAAGAAAGATAAATAAAATTGATTTGATGGTTAAATTTTTTTTTTTTTTTCCATTGTATGCCTTATTCAATTTAAATATATTTTATGTATAACTATGCTGAAGACAGAAAAAGATGAATGAATTACAATAATAATAATAAATTATTTTAATACTTTTATACTTATTTTTATAATGTATATGTTAAAATTTAAATAGAATACAATTTTAATAATATTTGTACAGAAAAATCTATTTTATTTATCCATATTATTCCTCATAGAAAATAAATAGAATTTTATTGTGTTCCATTAAGTGTTTAGGTACTTGATGAAGAATTTTTTTTTTTCGACGCAACTGATGTTTGACTATTTGATCCAACTAAAAATAAAGATGTAGGTCTACCATTGAATTCATAAGGTCCTTTTTTTAACTTTATTATTGGACTTGATCTTTTTCTTTTTGATGGTTTTCCCCATTGATATACTAAACTCGGTTTTCCATTACTAATAAAATCAATTGGCAAATTTATTAATGAAGTTATCCAGTAAGGGACTGCCGGTAAACGGACGTAAAATATTTTACTATCATCATACATTTTTTTTTTATAATCATTATTTGATGGTGTCTCCTTTAAGTCGTTTGGTAAAATTGAATATTTATTATTTTTTTTTATTACGACCGACCGAAAACTTTGATAATATTTTTTGTTGAGGGAATTATGTTTTTGATTATTATCGTTATTATTGTAGTTATTTGATACCTCAGAAATTTCATCAATTATTGATGTTAATTTATTTTCATTATCTTTTAAATTATTTGTTATTTGCTTATTAGATTTTCCCTCTTCAGATTTATTAATATCGACAATCTTATCATTTGAAAAATGGTAATCCGATGTTTTGACAGTTTTTACTGTTTTTACAGGTGTCGCCATTACAGAAACCATTAATATTATTACTTGTAGAAATGGAATTACCATCAAATAAGTCATCATTATAAACTCTGTAAGTCAATAAATTATTATTTTATATAATTGAAAAAAATTAAATACTTAATTTAAACTTTTAACTTTTGTCTATATGGTAATATATTTAACTGATAAAAAATTTTTTTAAATAATTGATATTAAATACCTATCGCGTTGATGCTAAGGATTATTATAGTAAAAAAATCATTGCATCATCAATTAACGTTGTGGAATATATATATATATATATATATATAATAATAAATATATTGCATATTACAAGGAAGTGAAATTTTAATTAGATTAATAATATTGTAACTAAATACAATGAAGGCTGTGTGAAAATAACACACCACACCGTTTTAATTCTTCTCGCTTCACTTCTGGTTTCTCGATCGTTTCTTTTTCGTTGTTGTTATATTATTTTTTCATAATGATGCGCTATATATTATTACAAAAAAATAATAATATATATCGTTATTGCTATTATAGTATTATTATACAATTATAATTTATCAAATGTAACACAAATAAGTACTTTGTTTGTTTTTTTTTTTTTTTTACTTTTTATTTTTAATTAATAATTAATAGTTCTCTAATCAAAAATGAATATAAATTTGCGAAAAATACTATTTATAATTGAAGAAAAAGATTTTTTGTAATTCAATAAACAAAAACTATTTCATCAGCAAGTTAAAAAATATATATATAAATAAACAAATAACTTATATATTGTTTCTTCTTAAAAATGATTAAATACTAAGATACTATAAAAAAAGTTTCACACACTACCTTTTAAAATATTTCGAATGTCGGCGACTTTGATGAATCCTCAAAGAGTACAAGGACTCTAATAATGTTCAAGGATATTTTTTTTTTTTTTTCATACGGCAATTTCCTTAGTTTTCTTGTTAATGGAGGTAGTATATCATTAACAACTTCCGTAAAAATTTACGCGCATATACGGCGACAATTTAAATTGATGATTAAAAAATAATTTCATTCACATAAAACATTTAAAAGTCAATATAAGAAAATTTTTAATATATCAATCAGACAATCACTTATATTGTACAAAATTAATAAATATTATTTAAATTTTATATATTTTTTTTTATTCGATAGAAAAATTATTTAGCGAGTGTTGATAGCAGATCACAAGTAATAGAATGAAGCCTTTTCTTAATAAACCATTGTCTTATACTTAAAGAGTATACCCCACTACTATATTTCACATATATTATTATGTTATCGTCCTTTATTCTTCATATCATTAATTATTATTGATAATTAGGATGATGATGATGATGATAATAATAATAATTATTATTATTATTATTATTATTATAAAAATGTGTTTCTTTACAAGATACAATTGTTTGTCGTTATTTTTTAAACATATTAAAATAAATACATTTATTTATTCAAATAAAGAAAGTAATTGAAACTTTTTTACAACTTTAAATAATTTTATTTTTATAACTACTTATGATAATGGAAATAATTATAATAAAAAAAAAAACGACTTAAAATTTTCTATGAAAATATATAGGTAATTTCCAATAAAAATATAATTTAAAAAAAAAAAAATAAGAAAATACATTCAAAAGTCCTACCGATTGAATTTATAACTTAATATACTTATAATAATTGAGAAAAAAAAAGATAGATATAGTCATTCAGCTTTATTTAAATACTACTTGTACATGTGCATATAACCTAGTTTTATATGCGTTATTCGTAAATTAAAAAATAAATACACAAATAAAAAAATATTTTCTTTTCTTTACTATTTAAATATCAATATTGTATAATGGAAACTCTAGACATAAAAATATTGTATGGAAGTGAAACTGGAACTGCTCAAGATACCGCTGAAGGACTTTGGAAATTAATTAAGAGGTTATATATTTATTCATGATTTAATAAACAAAAATATTTATACTAATTTAATTATTATTATTACAGATATAAATTAAATTGTTCAGTTATGTGTATGGACGATTATAATATTGAAAATTTAATAACTGAAAAATTAATAATATTTATTACAAGTACAACCGGTCAAGGAGAATGTCCATCAAATATGAAAAAATTTTGGCGTTTTTTATTGCAAAAAAAATTACCAAAAAATTTATTAATAAATTTTAAGTATGCTGTACTTGGATTAGGTGATAGTTCATATGAAAAATACAATTATGCTGCTAAAAAATTACACAAAAGATTATTACAATTGGGTGGTACATCAATAATATCTATTGGTTTAGCTGATGATCAACATGATTTAGGAATAGATGCAGCTATTGATCCATGGATACAAAAATTGTTTAATCAAATTGGTGAATTATACAATATAACATTGTTAAAATCAATAAAATCATCATTTAAATTCTATAATAATAATAATGATGATGATGATGATGATACATTTAATATAGAGGAGCGTTATGATGTTACAATATTATCCAATGATGATGATGATGATAATAATAAATATTATTTAGATAATATATATATGAAAGAAGTTGGTATTAATGAAAATTTAAAAGTATGTAAAGTTATTGACAATATTAAATTAACAGCACAAGATCATTATCAAGATGTTAGATTAATAAAATTATTATTTAATAATGATAATAATATCGATTATGAGCCAGGTGATGTTATTTATTTAAGACCAGAAAATTCATTACAACAAATAGATAATTTTTTCGAATTACTTAAACAACATAATATTCCAATTAATAAAAATACAATTATTAAATTAAATAAGAAAGAAATAAAAATACCATATATTTTAGAAGAACCAGTAAAACTTGAACAACTTGTTAAATATTATTGGGATTTAAATTATATTCCAAGAAGATCAACAATGTATATATTAGCTTCTATAAGTGATAATAAATTGGAAAAAGATAAATTAATCGAATTTACAACAGCTGATGGACAAGAAGAATTATTTAATTATGTTAACCGACCAAGAAGAAATATTATTGAAGTATTGAATGATTTTCCAAATACTGCTAAAAAATTAAATGAAAAAATATTATTTGAAATAATGTCACCAATAAAACAACGGGCTTTTAGTATTGCCTCAAGTAATAAATATACAAAAAATCAAATAGATTTATTGGTAGCTGTTGTTAAATATAAAACAAATCTTATTACACCACGTTTTGGTTTATGTTCTAATTGGTTAGCCTCATTAAAAATAAATAATAATAATAATAATAAAATAATATGTTGGTTACAAAAAGGTACTTTCAAATTTGATTATGATAAACCAATGATTTTAATTGGTCCGGGTACTGGACTTGCTCCATTTAGATCATTATTACTTGAAAGATTGGCTTTGAAACATGATTTTACCGATACTGTTTTATTTTTTGGATGTCGGTATAAAGATAAAGATAATCATTGTCGTAATGATATTGAAAAATTAATATATAATAATAATAATAATAATAATTTAAAAGTCTTTTTTGCTTTTTCTCGAGATCAGGAAAACAAAATGTAATTATTATTTTATTATCTTAATTTAAACAATTTATTATTAATTTATTTATATTATGATTTATTTCAGATATGTTCAACACATAATACGTGAGCAAGGTAAATTATGCTGGGAATTATTGTCAAAAGGTGGAAAAATTTATCTGTCAGGAAGCTCTAAAAATATGCCAAAGGATGTAAGAGATGAATTTATTGATTTATCAAAAAAATTTGGTAATTTTAGTGATACTCAAGCCGAAGAGTTTATTAAACAACTTGAAAAAACTGGACGATATCAAACTGAGACATGGGCATGAATTTTTATTTTACATTCACTTTTATTTATTTATTAAAAAAATATAAATTAACAACTCACTATTAATAAATAGATAATGTACAGTACAAACAATAGATGGTTTTTTTAAAAAGTATAATTATAGAAATAAAATTTCTTGTATTTATAAAATAAGTTTAAAAATTATTATTGTCTCTTTTTTAATTACAAAAAAAAAAAAACATCCTCCGCGGTTTGTTGTACGTTGTGTGTTTTAGATTTGCATTTAAATATTTACGCATGCGCTTTCTATAAATTTTTAGTACCCTGAAATTTCCACGGCATAGCACACATGGTGACATGGTATGTACATATACACTGGTATATATGTATGTAGTATGTATATACACAAGGTGTCTCTCTTTGCGCTTCTTTTTAATCGCGTGTTCATATAGGTTATGTTTATATAAACGGTATTTTACTTGTGTCTAAATATTTTGGGAACTCTGGTTTTACTTGAAAAACTTTGTTATTAATATATAATAATGGCTAAATTATATTCATATTATACATTGTGCCCATTGAATGATCAGCAGTCTTTATTGGGAGTTGAAAAAGATGTCAATCCAGGATGTGCTATTATTACTTTAGACCGAAATATTGCGATACGTTACAAGGTTAGTTTTTAATTTTTATTTACATTATTATACAGAAAAAAAAAAAAAAAAAAAAAAAAAAAGTATAAATATAAAATATTATTTTATTTTAGCTTCATGACTCGAAGCAACTAAACAGCTGGTCTAGTAAAAAAAAACGTTTTACGTCTCAAGTTATTTATGATAGAAAAAATGATCGTTATGCCGCAATATTCAACGAAAAGTATCTTGAAATTTGGGATAAAGATGAAAAATCTTTGGATAATTTAAAAAAGTATAATTTTAATGATTCATTATATGGTATACTTACTTTAGAAAATGATTCATCGATATTGGTTAAACAAAATGGAGCTACTGCATCATTAAATTGGGCATTAGACAATCGAGATATATGGTCTTCAAATAAAGGATTTTTGAGGTCTAATGAAAAATTTATTGATTGTAAATTAACTAAAGTTAACAACAAAACATATTTATGTGCTTTAACTACAATTGGAACAAAATTAAATTATATTGTCGTAAATCTTGAAGATGATACCTATTTAGATAATAATCAACAAGTTAAAAAAATTGAATTAAAACGTAAATCTGAAAAACTAATAGGTCATGTTTTACATCAAGACAAAAACAATGCATATCTTTTAACATTGTGTAAGTATTATTATTATTATTATTATTTAATTATTTAGTATTATTGTTTATTATTATTTTTATTATTTACAGGGTCACATGGTCGGCTTTATAAATATCCATTGACTTGTCCATCGTCAGAACCAGCACCGGGAAATGTTATTACCGTTTTTTCATTTATAAGTACCAATAATCCAGTAGCAATGATATCTTTAAATAAAACTACAATAGCTATTTATGGTGCTGATGCTAATGAAGAAGGCGCTGTATTATTAATATATAATATTGAATATAAACTTGTAGAGGCTTCTCAAAAATTAAAACTCTACACTAAGAATGCAAAACTTTGGTGTATTGATGACAAATTATTACTGGCAGCTAATCGAAGTTTATCAGTAGCTCAATTTAAATTAGCATCACAAAAAATGAATACCATGCTTGGTTCATCTTTAAAAATTAATAATAATTTCAGTATCAAAAATAAGAATAATAATAATAATAATAATAATGAAAAAGATTCAAAACCAATAGATAATGATGAAAATGATAATGATAATGATATTATTGAAGTCCGAGAAGCAATAATTGTTGATTGGGAAAATTTGTCTAGCAATACTATTTCAGGATCACCAATTAAACTATCTACGTCAAAAAATGATTTTCTACCGATAAATCTCACTAAACAAATAAACGGTTTATTAAATGAAGGAGTCAGTGATGCAACTATTCATCAAACGCTTATGCCTCAATTGATTCAACAAAAAGATGTTAAATCTATATTATGGTGTATGGATAATTTTAAAGATCTTCCAGAACAAATTTTAGTTGACTTATTAGCATTTGGACTTAGAACATCTGACGAAACATTTTTAATAACTTTAAATGGTACAACTTGTGATGATGATGATGATAATGATGATGAAAATATTTTTAAGACTACAAGAAATTTATTTTTAGATAAAATTTTTCAACAAAATTTTTCTGATTTATCATTGTTAGCACACATTAAAACAACTTTGACTTTTACCGAAATTTTAACATTGATTAACAATCTTATTGATAAATTAAATTTAAATAAAAATGATTTTATCGATAAAACAAATGATAAACATCTTTATGAATGGGCTAGTATTTTTATTGATTCACATTATCAACATTATCTTTTGTCGCAAGACTCTCAAGTTGTAATTGTTCTCGAAAGGTTACATACCATTATTGATAATCATGTAAGTTTATTGATAATAACACATATTTGTTATAATTTTACCAAGTTGTACATAAACTGTTGAAAATTATTTATCTTTTTTTTTTTTTTTTTTTTTTTTTTCAGTTTGAAATAGTCAAGGATTTACAGGATCTTAGGCCAATACTGTTACGAATTATGAATGGAAAATCTTTGAAATCTCCTCGCAAATATTTCAATAAGTTTTATTCTATTGAACAAGTTAAATTATATTGAATAATTAAATAAATAATTTGAAAAAAAAAAAAATTATTTTTTTTTCTTTTTTTTTTATTTATTATTTACACAATTACATGAATCGTAATTGGATATTTTTAAATTGTCATTCCTGACATGTATCGACATTGTAATATGGATATTATTTTTATAATTATATAAATAATATTTATTATTACAATACTATTAAAGGTAATTTAATATTTTATTAATTTTTTTTTTATTTATTAGTTGATTTTCTAATGGGCGTTTAATTTAGTTCATTTATGTACGGTACTGTTGCCAGATTACCTATGGCTGCCATAGAAACTTTACTACCAAGTTTTCCAGCGACCTATTACAAAAAAGAAAAGATAAGAAAATAAATTTATAAATAATTGTAAAAATCAGAAAGTAAAAAAGGTACCTTTTTAACATCTGCAGATGAAATTTTATCAACTTCAGCAACTAATGCAGCACAAGATACTGGACGACCTTTAAATAATGTTTGCTGAGCAAGATTTTCCAATTGTCTTGTATTATTATCACTTGTATATAAAATTGACGCCTTTAATTCTGTTTTTCCACGAGCAATATCAGCATCGGTAATATTAGGGGAATTCATCCATTTGTAAGCTGCTTTAGTGATCTTTAATATATATATATATGAGTTTATGAATATTAATAAATTTTATTATTTATAAAATATAATATAATTAGAATTACCGATCCAGCGACATTGGCCGGTGCTTGGATGATAACTCCAAAAAGTCCAGAATCAGAGTAACTAGCATTGAAAGCAGAAACAGCAAATGGATCATTTCCAGCTGCTGAAATGACACTTCGTTGCAATGGAGCTGTTGTTGTGCCCCATTTAATGTGTGGACCAGTTCCAGCAGCCTGTTGTAATACAGCAAATGCCAATGCATCTTTATCATTACTAAAACTTGAACCTTCAACAGCTAATGCAACACTAGCAATCGAAGAATTACGTTCTTTACGTAGTTCTCCACCGTGATATTTTGATGGTGATGAATTTCCCTCACTTGTTCCAACATTTAAAGTGTTTGCAAAGCTAGATAAATCTGACAGTGAAATGCCAGTACCTACTACAGCGCATCTTGGTCCTGTGAACCAACTATTGACAAAATGTTGCAACTAATAATAAAAAAAATCAAAGGATATTAATAATTATAGTTTGTTTTTCTTTTTAATACTTGATTAAATCGGAAAACTTACACTTTCTGATGATATTTTATCAATATGACGTTTTGGAGAATACAAAGAGTAACCCAAACCTGTACGATAAGCTGCTTTATGTAAAAGTTCAAGTAATCGTGTAGCTTCTGGAACTGCTGAAAGTTCATAACGTAGTCTTGGTGATAAATCATTAACTTCCCATGGTTTAAATACTTGTCGTGTTGCCACATCTTCTAAGAAGTTGAAAGCTTTGTCTCTAAATTATTATTAATAAGAAAAAATAAATTATTCAAGTTAATAATTTTATATCATTACTATTAAATTAATTACTTACAAATGATTACGAGTTACTTGTAGAGTATAAGCTGTTGATTCACGATCACTTGTAGCAAATATATTACCACCAAGTTGTTGAATATTGCGGGTAATACCAAATGTAGTTCCGCGCGATGTTGTTAATCCAGCTGCTAATCGTAAAAGATGTGAAATACCTTGAGTATCATACGTTTCATTTCGAGGTCCAGCTCTGTATATAGACAATATAATAATAATAATAATAATAATAATAATAATAATAATAATAATAATAATAATAATAATAATAGTATATATTCATACAATTACAAAAAAAAAAAAAAAATATTACTTGAAAACAATTGACACTTGGGTAACCGGACTATTGTTGTCCAATGCAGCAACAGTAATTTTATTACTCAAGACTTGAAAATCACCGGCAGCAGCAGCTGCTGGTGCAGAATGAGCAGCTTTTGCTGCAGCTGCATAATTTCTTACCTACAATAAAAATTATGATGATAATGACAAAAACCTTTTTTATTTTATTTTATTTTATTTATTTTTTTAAATATCTGTCAGTGTCACTCGGCGGAGTATAATAAAGTTAACCCTAGAAATGAACATTAATAAATCTTTGAAGAGTAAAAAAAAAAAAAAAAGAATTATAATTCTTTTATTGGATTTTTTGATTAATACTAATTTTAATTGTATACTCTGGTAATCAAAATAAATTATTGACTTTCTTTGACCGAATAATATTATAAAAAATTGTTATAATATAATTAAAATGTCTACGGTTTTATATAACACTCGAGTTTTAATTTATAAGAAACGAAACATATATTTCAGAATGTAGAAAAGAAAAAAAATGTCGAATTTAATGATAAAACATTTAGTAAAAAGGTAAAATTAATTAAACTTACAGATGGATTTCGTAAAATTGGAGAACGCACAGCAGAACATGCCATTTTTACAATGTTAATTGATAATAAAATTTTATTGTAAAATTCTTTATTGCCAAAGGTGAATCGTTTCGGGCATCGAAAAGACACTCAGCAGACACCCATAGATCACAGACAAAGACAAGACTATATATCAACTGCGCAGGATTATGACGATGATGCTTCAGCTAGTAGTCAGTCAGTAGATCGAGAGATGATTATGAACAACCCCGGTGAATAAGGAAAATATGTAAGGCAAAAATAAAATGGTACATTATACCAATACAAGATGGAGCCCCATGTACAATTATCAAAACTAAAATGTAAATAAAAATTATTTATATAGATGGCCATACATGCACATTACTTTATTAACAATTAACCAATAATAATAATAATATATACATATGTTATATATATATATATATATATATATATATATATATATATATATATA